CGAGATAAAGGGCCCGTTTTTTAAATAGAATTTCATTGACGCACAAGATAAATTGTTTTCTTTTTTCCCTTTTGAGTTGGGCCTTAAACATTCCTTTGATCCCATCTCTTTTAATAAGTTTCCGACATAAAAACCCTACATAAAGGATAAAAATATATCTTAATTAAGTCGAGAAGATCCTATTAAGAAATTGAATATTAAATACTCTTAATGGGCCATTTATATTTCATCATTAAAAACAATGGAATAAAATAAAAAATGATAAAATATTTTATTTCTTGTTTGATCTTGTAATTTAAACCGATTATACGCAATATGCTGTTTTAAAATACAATACTTTATTCAATATTTTTTTATTTCTTAAATGAACTACATACTGAATTACCTTATTTCAGTTAATACATAGTGCATAATATACCGGGTGCGTCTCAAAAGTGGCTCACCCCTATAACTTTTTTATTTTTTCAGATAAAAAAACTAAATTTGGTATGTTAGTATATGACATAAATTAGGATTGATTGACGTATTCAATTGTTTTTGGTCACTTCCTGTTTCACCGGAAATGACTACAACTTTTGATTTTTAACTGGCACCCTCGGTATTTTTTATTTTATTCGATAGAAAATGGCATTCTGAATAGAATAACATATCATATGTCAACTTTTGACATTCTCGCTTAAGAACAAATCGTATTTTAAAATTCAATCTAGAGTGCCATGGTTATGTTAAAAATACTAATACTTAATCAAGGAGCCTTGGAAAAATAGATTAGATCGTCTAATGTTTTCAGTGTCTTGTCCTGGCCAGTTAGAAAATGCTTAAATCGTATTTTTAATCATATCTCAATTTTTTTAAATGGAACGGGGGTGGCTCATTAGCATATTTGGAAAAAGCATTTTTTTATGAATAATTTGATACCACACACTTCGTATTTCGAGTCAAATTTTCGTTACGAACCGAAAGTTATAATTTCAAATAAACCATATGCGAAAATGTAAAAAGTTGATATATGACATGTCATTTTATTCAGCGTGTCATTTTCTATCGAATAATGTAAAAGTATACCGGGAGTGTCATTTAAAAATCAAAAGTTGTAGTCATTTCCGGTGAAACAGGAAGTGACCGAAAACAGTTGAATACGTCAATCAATCCTAATTTATGTCATATACGTTTTGTTAAACTGAAAAACTAAAAAAGTTATAGGGGTGAGCCACTATTGAGAGGCACCCGGTATAATATTATTTAATTAGAGAGTGGGCCTTAACACTTCAAAAGTAGGAGCTCCAATCAATCGGCGAAGTTAAGCAATGTTAGAATATACAGGGTCGCTGATATGCATGAAAACGGTCGATTATTGGGCAAAGTATACGTGGTCCCACAAAAAGTTAAATACAAAAGGTATAGGATTTTAAATGCATAACATCTTGTTGTAATACATTTAAGTATACAGTAAGGAGAGCCAAAAAAACTAACCTATAATATATATGGGTTAAAATGAACCAAATAACCCAGAAAAAAATATTCCCAGAAGGCAGGATTTTTGACTCAATTTTAAAAGGTGTCGGTAAACATTCAAAGTTTTCCATTTAAATAACACGTAAAAAAATATTTTTCTATTAAAAGTACCATAACTTTGAAACGGTTTACGATAAAAAAAAATTACGTCGCGGATTCTTGTAAAGCATAAAATTTCCAAAAAAATCTATCTGAGAGTAATCTAATTTTTTTTTGCTAAATGTGAAAATCTTTAATCAATAAACACTAAAACTGCATATTTTGATTTTTTCACTTTTCAAAGCTTTCAGTTTTCAAATCACTTTTCAAAGCTTTCTGATAGATTTTTTTCGAATTTTTATGCTCCACAAGAATCCGCGATTTAAATTTTTTTATCTTAAACTGTTTCCAAGTTATGATACTTTTAATGAAAAAAGATGTTTTTACGTGTTATTTAAATGAAAAAATTTGATTGTTCACCGACACCTTTTAAAATTGAGCTAAAAATCCTGCCTTCCGGGGATATTTTTGGTTATTAGGTTCATTTTAACTCATAAATTCCATAGGTTATTTTTTTGGCTCACCCTAGTATAGATTTGTAAAAGAGATTTTATGGGATCAGAAAGATAGTAATCACCATAACCGGTACATTTTAGATAAGTTATGAGATGAACTGACAACAAATTTCCGTCAAGGTTATAAAACTTGCCACGCTCTCCGGGTTTTGAAAATTTCATGTACAGTACACCTTCTGGTTTGTTGGTTTCGAATCAACCAAATGTTTGCGACATTCCTGCCCAGAATGTTAGCCACTATTAACATTTTAAATTGTCAATAAGCAAATGAAATAATAAATTTGCACAAGTACCTCGCTATTCCTCTATGTTCTAGGCTAACTAGAATAGCGGCGAGCAAGCAGCGCGATATCGCGAAGGTCATGCCTCGAGGTGCTAAAACATAGTAGAGCGACGAGGAATAGCGAGGTACTTGCAGATTTGTCATTTTCATTTGCTTATTGATTATTTAAAATTTTAACAGTGGTTAAAATTCTGGACAGTAGTGTCGCATACATTTGTTTATCACAAGTTTATTCGAAGCCAACAAACCAAAAGGTGTAGAGTACATGAAATTTAAACATTACAACATGAAATTTTCAAAACCCGGAGAGAGTGTGGCAAGTTTCATAACCTCTACGAAAATTTGTTGCCACTTCTGTTGCCATCTCATAACTTATCTAAAATGTACCGGTTATGGTAATTACTATCTTTTTGGTCCCATAAAGTCTCTCTTACAAACACTAAATCTATTAATTTTTTGGGAATCCATCGTTTTCTACAGCGCGACAGAGCGACGAAAACAAAATTATTTGAATCGATCTCGCCGCTCGATCTAACCGCTCGAGCAGATCGCTTTACTATGTTCACACGTACTTGACTTCGCAGGTTTGTTTTGGACGCAATGTCGCGCTGCTGGCTCGCCGCTAGCCTCGTTGCTCCACTATATTCTTAGCCTTAGCCTAAGAACATAGTGGAGTGACGAGGATAGCGGCGATCAACCAGCGCGATACCGCGTCGAGCAAGCCTCGAGGTGCTGAAACATAGTAGAGCAGCGAGGAATAGCGAGGTACTTGCAAATTTACATGCAAATTTATTATTTTCATTTGCTTATTGATAATTTAAAATGTTAACAGTGGCTAAAATTCTGGGCAGTAGTATCGCAAACATTTGGTTGATTCGAAACCAACAAACCAAAAGGTGTAGTGTACATGAAATTTGTACACTAACATGAAATTTTCAAAACCCTAAGAGAGTCTGGCAAGTTCCATAACCTTTACGAAAATTTGTTGCCACTTCATCTCATAACTTATCTAAAATGTACCGGTTATGGTGATGACAACTTCATTTGACAGTTATCTTTTACCTTGACTGGTGCTCATAAGTAAATACAGGGCCATAAGAAAGTAGAAATATTTAAAAAGAAATCAGCGATAACTCGTAAACGGGCTAATCAAAAATATCTAAAGTTATTCTTTTGAATGTGGGTTTTAGTGCTCTTCAATAAACCTAAATAGAATTATTCTCTAAAATAATTAGGGAAGCCAATAATTGACCCCATTAAAATTTACATGGGATTTCCTATGTCCCGTCCGACGATGCAACACCCGGTATATGCCTCTTAACATGAAAAGAATTTTGAAAAGAGAATCATTTTATGCAGTTAACAGGAAAGGAAGTATTTTGAGCATTTGATTTCATCTAGCTAATTTCCGTCACATAATTATACGTTTACATATAGTTTTAATTCTGTAATAATTAAAATATGTTTTGAATGTGTTTCTTTTTCATACCGTTGAATATTGTACTCTACATACTTTAGTGTTAATTAGTAATTTCGTTAATAAGTTAAATTAACGAAAGGTATATCACAGCCATTTAGATTTCATTAAAAAACAAAAATCTACTGACGCAAAAAGATCTGCTGAGACAAAATCATAATTATAAAACTTTCTAAGAAAATATTTACCTAAGGGGTAGGCAACTTTGGAAATATTTTGACGATATATGAATTCTCCATTGAATGTCGGAATAATATAGTGGGTGTTCCATTCAAAATAAAAGAGTAACTTGCTTTTAAATGTGACTCATATGATAAATGTTCAATATTATTTTGGTCTTACCCTCTGTAACTGGATAAAATTTGGATCAAATTTCAATTTGTTTTAATAACATGCAATGGTTATTTTAACTAAATATCAGGCTATACAGGGTAAATTACAGTTTAGGTCTCTGTTATTGAAATATAAAGTTTATTGTTCATTTTCACAAAATGTAAAATATTTTTACTTTAATGAAACTTTATTTTTTACCTGGAATCCGAAAATCGATTAAATAATATATAGTGTGTTCTATTACAAAAAACCAACTTTGATACATAACTTTTTTGGGGACAACCCTATAAAACTGTATATATTCTTATAAAATGCTTTCAATTAACCTATATATCCTCCCAAAATTTCATTTCGATATAAAATGTTCTTCTTGATATATAATACAGCGCAACCCTGTGTGTATTTCTGTAAATCTTACTTGCATTTTGTTTTGAAATTTATAAAAAATATTTGAAAACGGTGTGAGAATTTCAGCAAATGTTATTCAAATTTTTACCCCCAATTTTATCCCTTTAGGAGAATTTCTAAAAATCGCGTCTTAGTACTCACTTATGTCACTTAAGGGACCTTTGTGGAAAATTGCATACTCCTAAAACAATTTAAAAAAAATGAATTTTTGCCCCTTGAAGGGATGAGTTTCCAAAAATTGTTTCTTGGTGCTGAATTGGGTTACCCAAGGAGGAAGCTCTATTCAAAATTTTATACTTAGAATAGAATAGCATTCAAAAATATGTACACAAACTTTAACCCTTAATTGCGCACCAAAAACTCTCTTTAAACATAATCCTATAACATAATACTTTAAGGATAAAAATTATTTGGATCAAGAAAAAATAAATAAATTATTAAAATCAATTATAATATAAAAAGTAATATAATACCTAAGGACAATATGTTTTTCTTACAAAATATGGCCACAGTAAAAACTATTCTTCACATTCTTTTTAACTTATATACAATAATCAAAACTTCAAACTATTGAGTAGTAAGTATGCATGAGCTATAAATCCACTTACACATACATGGGTAACAAATTAGCCTTATGAAACATATCCTTGTCACTGCTCATTTTCCTTGTAAAACTGCATTTATTTTAATGCCGCAGTTCCCTATTTGGCTGAATTGATCCTAATTTAATATACCTAGCAGTTTGTGCTGCTTGAGAACTGCGAGCAGCCTCAGCAGCGGTGGGTACGTGCGTGCCATCACCTTTGAGGGCCGCTACTGGTTTCCATAAATTAATACCATGCACTAGGACAAAAATAAATTGAATTCCTGCTGATCGTACTATAGAGTTTACTCACTTTTAAACATTCGAACACAACCATCATCCCCGGTAGACGTTAAAAGTGTGCCAGTTACATTCCAACAAACTCGCCAAACAGTACCTCCGTGATCGTCGAACTGGCCAACTGTTTGAATGTCTAACTTTGTTAATCCACTCTGTGCTACCTGATCATCCCTAAAATTGAGAATAATCTCAACTTGGATTCATAAAATGACAACAAAATTAATCACTCTTTGCATCATCGAAGTATTTTTGTCATCATTGAAGTAAAATGTAGCACATGCATAAATTAGCAGTTGTCAAATTTCATGTAAAGCATTAATAAAAATAATCATACTGTACAGATTTAATGTTACAGTAGGCGTCAAGTTGACTTGGAAATGATCAGTGACGTTCATAATATAATTTTGCATATAGCACCACAGGCAAACTTCATTTCCAAAACCCTTTTTTTCGATCATATGATATGTACAGGATCCGGCAAGAGTGCGTCTGGCATCTGTAGCTTCTAGAATAAAAAACTTGGGAATTTTATTCAGTGCAAACCTAAACTATATTCTAGGATATATTTCAGGACAAATATTTTAAGTTCTACAGAGTGGCTCAAAAAAGTGTGGGTGGGATTGCATTGGGATGATTTTTTTTTAAATAGAACAAACACCCTGCATATTATTTCACTTTTGGCTTCCTTTCAGGCCACTGTACATAATCCTAAGATATGAGTAAATATATTTCGATAGTTTCAGAGATATAAATAAATAAATAAAAAATATAAGTTTTTCAACCTTTGTTAAAAAAAATATTAAAAATACTAGAACTATCTTGAAATCAAAACTATATTAGGTATTTAGTTTAGATGGTCTGTACTTACTTTGCTATAAATATGGTAATCGTAAATCATACATAATGTACAAAATTATACGCCAAACTTTCTAAAATATAAAATAATTTTTCTTCGTTTTTTTAAATGGAATTGTATGTACATATGTAATTTTTTCGATAGATGTAGAATTAGGAAATGAACATTTTTTGTATTTAGAGTATATCAAAAATTTTAATGGTTACGCAGATATTTGCGGTTTTATATTTCATATGGCGTTTTCCACAGTAAATTTTTATCAAAGCCACCCAATAACTTTTCTCTCGTATTTTACTGTTGAGAGAGCCATACGAAATAATACTGCTTGTATCTGTGAAACCATTAAGAATTTTGAAATACTTTAAATACAAAAAATGTTCATTTTTTAATTCTAATTCATCTAATAAAAAATAATATACAAGGCGTTCCTTTAAAAAAAAAAAAAAATTATTTTATATTTTAGAAAGTTTGGTGTAGAATTTTGAACATCCTATATGATTTAACATTGCAACATTTATAGCAAAGTAAGTTTAGACCATCTAAAGTAAATACCTAATGTAGTTTTGATTTCAGGACAGTTCTTGTATTTATAATATTATTTTTTAAGAAAGGCTGAAAATATATATTTTTTATTTCTGTATTAACATCTCTGAAACTATCGAAAACTATTTACTCATATCTTAGGATTATGTAAAGTGATCTGAAAAGAACCTAAAAATGCAATAATATACAGGGTGTTCCATTTAAAAAATCATACTGATCTACTCACACTTTTTTGAGCTACCCTATAGAAGTTAAAATAATTTTCTGAAATACATACTAGTACATACTTTAGGTTTGTATTGTATTGTATTGTATTGACTAAGAGTGGGTCCCATGGGGGGGGACCCTCCACTGAGGCCACGAGGGCCTATTGTGGCTCAGTTTCTACACGCTCTAATTTACAAGAGCGTCAAAGTTCACCCTCATGACCCAGCCTCCTAATATAGGCCGTTATGTCTGAGGGCGATATGTCTCCTAGGTCTGATAGGTCTAGCATGAGTTTGCCAAACATCTCAAACCTGGTCCTGCTCCCAGCGAGGCAGGTACACATAACGTGCTTCATTGTTTCGTCATCTTCCATACAGAGTCGGCATTCGGCGTCTTCCACCAGTCCCGTCCTCTGTAGGTGAGATCTCAGCCGGCAGTGGCCCGTGTACACTGCAGTGAGCACACGCGTTCCATTCCTACCGGCCTTTAGGAGTTCTCCTGTTCTATGTTTGGATGGCCCTGCTAGGATTTTCTTGGCATGTTCCATTCCGGGACTGTCATTCCAGTCCCGAAACGTCGCACTCCTAACCCATTCACAGAGCCTGTCTCTTGCGAGATTTTTAGGAACGCTAAGTGTCGGTTCTAGACCCACGAATGGCGAGCCTGCACCAATTTTGGCGAGGGAATCAGCACGTTCATTTCCCTCTAGGCCGACATGTCCCGGTATCCATATTAGCGACACTTTGTTCCTATCTCCCAGTATATTGAGTAGTTTCTTACATTGAAGAATCGTCATAGACGTGCTTTTCGTTGCCTCAAGTGCTTTCAGCGCGGCTTGACTATCCGAAAATATGCATATTGTTTTCCCGGTGTATTGCTGTTCTACCAGCAGTTGCACACAGGTTTCAATAGCATATAGCTCAGCTTGGAAGATCGTGTTGTGTTTTCCAAGACTGTAGTAGATCTCAGTCTTTGGACTGCTGTAGTAAATTCCTTAAAATACTTTAGGTTTACACTTAAACAACATTTCCAAGCTTTTTATTATAAGAGCTACAGATGCCCGACGTACTACTGCCGGGCCGTGAGTAAATAACTAGAAAGAAGTAACAGACAACTAAAATAAGTCAAAAAGACTCACTCTACTGGCGACAATGTAAGTATCTTGACATCCTTGTTCGATGCTACAGCCAAAATGTGTAAACTTCTACCCAGATTTGGTGCAAACTCTATGTCATGGACTGGTTCTGTTATGTTGCTGATAGTTTCCAACTTAATCCACTTTCTACTATTTTCACTGTATTCATAAACAAAGACTTTTCCCCCAATATTCATATTTGTGTCATCGCTTCCTACTGCTATCATTGCTGGATGTAATCTAGTAAAAAACAATATCAGTAAGAACAAAAAAGTCAACAAAGAAAAATCAATTAAATACAAATATTATAGTTATATAATTAATATGTATTCAACGCATTGGATAAAGAATAAAAAGGAAGAAGTCCTTCTATATTTCACCTAGCAGAAGAAACGGGGACGGAAGTCGCCATATTAGAAAACCTCTGATGACAGTCGTCGGTTCATTTTATTGGTAATTTCACGATCGGACTTTGGCAATTTGATTTGTTTCGCTTTGACGCCTGGTGTTTTGATTTGTGTTTTATTCAATCAAACAGTCAAAATTAGGGAAAATGGTTAGTTGTTTGGCCCGTGGCATCTCAAAAATTATGACAAATACCAAAGATGTTATTACGTTTCATCAGTAAGTACAAAATCTGAAAAAAATCGGCATCCGGAAACGCTTCGGCGCCATATGCAACAACCAGTAGGTCTCCTGTCAATGAGCGAAACGCTCCTTCCTTTTTATTCTTTATTCATTGATTCATCCAATGTACAAGTTTGCTATCAAAAGGCATTTCTTTATTTTGTCAAAAATTATTTTTTCAAATGGATATTTACATTAATATGTAGTATTTGATATACCCTACTGACAAGCGAAACCTTGGGTCGGCGTTTACATATATAGGAGTGAATCGCTACGGCAATCTAGTATGTTGGAGAGAGCAAAAATACGAAGTATTTATTACATAATCACTTAATTTGACGCCAGATTCCATGCGCTTGGAAAAATACTTGCCTTCTGTCTTTATTCAGTACATCTTATTTTACAAAGCGTGTTGACCGTACTCTTCGTGCACATGAAAATCGGCACCCAAGACCAGAAATACCGACCCTTAGTATAGTTGAATATTATGTAGTATAATAGTTTAATGATACCAGTGGTAGGTTATACGGTATGATCGAAAAAAAACGGCGTCCAGTTGGCTGGGAATTGACGATCGATGACATTATATATTCTGGAGTTCTTTCAAAAGCTGAAATAAAAAATGCAGGTCCGTATTTAAAAAAATTAAGTTGACCTCTGTATCTCACAAATTATGAGCTAAGTTGAAAATCTAAAACTACCACCAGATATCCCTAATAAAGTGGCTATGAGAATGTGTATTTAATGTGTAATTTTTTTTGATTTTCAAAAAAGTAACGACAAAAAAAATTAAATTGGGTTTCAAAAAATCCGTTTTTTTCCAAAAAAAACTCAGCAATCTTTGAAATTTTGAAAACTTTTTTGATCGCATCTTGGTGAACATTTCAAAGCGCAACTTTGCCCCAATTTAACCATGTTCGTATCTATTACGGTTACCGAGATACCAATGCTCGTACCTCCAATTTGTAGCACTCTGTATATATTATATATTACCGTATTTATATGAGATATAAATTTACACATAAAATTACAGCAATCTTCAGTTCATAGTTCATAGCCATCGCTGATGCCTTTTTTTTCGATCATACGGTATTTTACACCTTGTCATCTCTTTTATTTAAAAAATTATCAAGAAACTTTAAATACCTTTGTAGGTATCTTGATCACATTAGAATAAAAAATGAGGATCCCAAAACTATTAAAAAAATACAAATTGTCTTTTTTTAATGAAATGCCCTCTATATTATGTGTGTAGGATTTCTTTTTTCTGCCTTGAAATAGATATATTTATATGATCTATTTTAAACCCTTCGATATAGATAATAGATATAGAGTGTCTTTTGTTTGCGGACGATTTCAAGATTTACAAAAGTGTTGCCTCCGAGAGTGACTGTATTGATCTTCAGAGTGATTTGACAAATGTTATGACTTGGTTTACAAACAATAAAATGTTTCTTAACATCGAAAAATGTTCATTTGTGAGCTTTACACGTAAATCAACCAGGATAAATTTTGAATATCGTATACATAGTGAAACTCTGACTTAAAGTAGGGCTATCAAAGATCTGGGTATAACGTTTGAATCTAACTTAAGGTTTAATCTACACTATCGAAACATTGTCAATAAAGCATATCAAAGGTTATGTATCATGAGGTTTTCTCATTAGAAACTCTAAGCATTTCAAACAAATTAGTACTTTGTCCAAACTGTACAATTGCTAAGTTAGGCCTCACTTAGAGTATGCATCAATTATATGGACTCCTACAGCAGAATGCAATTGCGATCTGATTGAGAAAATCCAAAAAAAAATTTCTAAGATATCTATATTTTAAACAAAATGGTGTTTATCCAGTTTTCCCTCTGTTGGTATCATATAAAAACATGTTAAGCTCGTTCAACTTCCAGGATCTACACGCCCGAAGAATCGTACAATGTTTAATAATATTATATAATATATTAAATAATTATAAACTCAATAATTCAGATCTAATAAATAATATCAAATTTCATGTCCCAAAAATCAGCCTACGTCGCACAACAAATTCAAATAAAACATTTAATATATATACGGTCAGTTCTTATATGTGCCACATCCTGGACGAATGTAATGCAGTGTTAAGTCAGTTTAATATAGATATTTTCCATACAAATGTAAAAGAAATAAATAAGATCGTAAATCATACCTCCTTCACCACAGTGTGATATACCTGCACATTTTTGTTTTTTTTTACTTTGTATATTTTAGTTTCAATTCAACCAATTTTTTTTTTCTTATTGCTTTCATTGTATGTACAGTAGTTTTAGTTTTGTTAAGTTAATTTATTTAGATTTAAGTCCCTTACCTGTAACAACTATTCTTTTGGTGTTTGTAAGGAGTAGTTTAAAATAAAATAAATAAAATTCAATAATAGATAATAGATATAGATAAATAAATATATCTATTTCTAAACCCTTCGATATCACCAACAAATAACTATGGGTGTCTCATGCAAGATTTTTCCCCCTCACAAAAAAAAACCTTCGATATACATTTTTAATTAGAAAAAAATAACGTAAGCTGAGTGCATATAATAGGCACACAGATGGTCAGAAGGTATCTATTATAGTTTTAGAACATAATGTAAAAACCTTGATGTACTAAAACTATAATTTTTATTAACCAAACAATTCAAAATAGCGCATATAAAGTATATATGTTACTGTAAATGTCCGAAATGCGGTAAAACCCAGGATTTACCAAAAGCAAGTGGTAGTAAAAACCAACCAACCCCATTAAATAACCACCTAACCAATGCATTAACACCCCCCAAATAACCAGGCTAACCAATGCATTAACACCCTACAAATAACCAGGCTAACCAATGCATTAACACCCTCCAAATAACCAGGCTAACTTAATTAGTTAATGTTCTTGGTAAATCCTAGGTTTAGCGCGCTTATCCTAGGTTTTACCGCATTTCGGACATTTACAGTAACATATATATTTGAAATAAGAAGAAATACTACAATTAGCGGTGGACTCCGACAACCCGTGTACTTGGCAAACATTTTTTATTGGCATACAGGGTCCGCCGATAGTGCTTCTTAGCTCCTATAATAAATGACTTAGAAATTTTGTACAGATACCCGACGCACTATTGCCGAACCCTGTATCCCAATAACAAATGTTTGTCAAGTACACGAGTCCTCAGAGTCCACCTTAATATAATACAAAAACACTTTACACATGATATAAAAGGCGTTTCATTTAAAAATGCATTTGCGTTGACCAGTTTAAAGTTTTTTAATACTTTTCAAATTAATAAGTTAGGATACAATTATTATAATACTCCTGTTCTTTTAAAATTACAATCTTAATATTACCTTGACAAACTGGGATTCCATGTCAAACAACTTAAAGGCAATTTACACTGAACTTCATGTTGCAATGTCCACTGACTTAAATTCATTACATCAGGTGCTTCATAGATCCTTATAATTCCTAAAATTAAATGATAGACTTTGAGAATTTTTTTAAGATTTCCAGTGCAAATTTAGATTTTTCATAACTTTTATACCCGGTACGTCTCAAAAGTGGCTCACCCTTATAACCTTTTTATTTTTTCAGACAAAAAAACGAGATTAGGTATGTTAGTACCCAGGCTGAGCGTGCATTAGAAGTTTCTATAGGACTACAACATCTAGCTCGGAGATTTTTTGCACATCATAGTTTCACAACGAGAACTATCGATTAAAAATATTTTCAATATGGCGGCACTTCCGGAAATACCGGAAGTTGACAGCAACTTTCTTAGTTTAAATGGATGCCTCCATTTTTTATTATGTATTTAAGTTCTCTGTAAAATTTTATGAATTTTGATATTAAACACTCTATATCTAACATTAACCGTTTTTGAGGAAAAAATTATTTAAAATTTTTGAACAAAAAAATCTGCCTGTCAAAAATATGTGTCTAGCCTAAACGTCAAGTTTAGTCATTACCACAGCCACTGTGCCATAAAGAGGAAACATGGGGCTATATTTTTCAAATATTAAATTGTTCGAATGTCATATAATAATGGCCGCAGCTGTCATAGAATTGAGCGATTAAAAAATTATCATAAATCATTTTTTTCAAATAGAAACCCATTTTTTTATTTCACTAGTGAAAAGGCTTTACAATTCATTACTAACTATATATGTTCCTATACCTAAAATAAATCGTTTTTGAGTTATTTAAGATTTAGTTTTAAAGTGTATATTTTTCTTGATTTTAACCAGTAGCCTACGACTTTAAACGTCAGGTGATGTAAAACACTAGATCTAGCCATGTCATATTTTGACGCTTTGTTCAAAAAGCAGCATCATTTTCGAGCCAACTTTGCGCTGTTTTTTTTTTCGGTCATACGGAATATTAATATAATATCAGCTATTAAATATCACTAAAGAGCGAAAATACGAGATATATTTTTATAAATACACTTTTTAAACTCTTAGTAGGCAGTATTTGTACTATAGGAAATTCAAATAATTCGTTTTCTGACAGATGGAAATAAATTGTCTGACCATTTGATACTTAATGTCAAAGGAAGCTAGATAAAATCAAGAAAAATATACGTTTTCTAACTCAATCTTAAATAACTTAAAAACGATTTATTTTAGGTATAGGAATATGTATAGTTAAAAAGTAACAAATTGAAAAACCGTTTCATTAGTGGAATAAAAAAACTGGGTTTCCATTTGAAAAAAATGATTTATGATAATTTTTTAATCACTCAATTCCATGACAGCTACCGCCATTATTATATGACATTTGAACAAGTTAATTTTTGAAATATATAGCCACATGTCTTCTCTTTACGTCACAGTGGCTGTGGTAATCACTAAATTTGACTTTTAGGCTATACAAATTTTCTTGACAGGTAGTTTTTTTCGTCCAAAAATTTTAAATATTTTTTTTTCTCAGAAACGGTTAATGTTAGATATAGAGTGTTTAACATCAATATTCATAGAATTTTACAGAGAATTTAAGTACATAATAGGGGGCACCCATTTAAAATAAGAAAGTAGCTGTCAACTTCTGGTATTTCCGGAAGTGCCGCCATATTGAAAATATTTTTAATCGATAGATCTCGTTGTAAAACAATGATGTGCAAAAAATCTCCGATCTAGATATTGTGGTTCTCTAGAAACTTCTAAGGCACGCTCAGCCTGGGACACCCTGCATGACATAAATTCTAAAAAATCTGAAAAATTAAAAAAGTTACGCAACCAGTATAGTAATACAAATTATCTAGTTTTCAATTTAATAACAAGCAATTTGAAAACAAAATATATCTTTATTGCCTTTGAAAAGTTATTGATAAAAATATTACCTTCTGCTGAACATGTTGCAAGAAGTAGTCCTTGTGCTTTAGGTCCAAACTTCACATCAGTAACTGACGTCCTTGAATCGACTAGATGTGTCCTTCCAACCCAGTGTCTTGTACCTCTTTGACGAGGTCCTGGCATATCACCAACTAAAAAGGTATTTATAAAACAAAAATTTTAAATAGCAAAGTTAGTTCAGTTTTACCAATTTCCTCCCATACAGCTGCAGTACGATCAAATGAACAAGTTGCCAATACATGACCAAACTCTGGATGTGCCCACGTAACTTTCCAGACTGAAGCTGAGTGTGCCTTCCAGCTAGATGTTAGTGTCCAATCACCATCGCTGTTTTTATCCCAAACCTTAAATGGATTTATACCACATAAGTGCTAATAAATACAATTCTTTATTTTTATTTACACCAATCTTTCACAAAATTATTCTTAGCCATAGTTCCTCGATATACATATAATTACTTACAAGGTATTACTTTTAAATATTTTATATTATTTGGAACGTTCGAAATTGTTTAAAAAATTATTTGTGGAGTTTGAAAAAAATAGCATGTTCTATTCGGAGTAAAAATTATTATATAATTATAATATATAATAAAAAAAATATAACATAAAAAAATTAGTTTTAAATGTAAATAGTATCAAATTATTTAGTAATCAGTCATGAGAAAACTAACATGAACACAAACAAATAGCATTTTTTATTCAGAGTAAAAATTATTATATAATTATAATATATAATAAAAAAAATATAACATAAAAAAAATAGTTTTAAATGAAAATAGTATCAAATTATTTAGTAATCAGTCATGAGAAAACTAACATGAACACAAACATGAATATAAATGACCACAAGCAAAGAAAAAAAGGAAAAACATAGTGTATAATATTGTATATACATACACAAGTGGGTTAAATCATAACTTAATTATCTGAATATGAAGTACTAATATGTGTGAATGAATTATCTAGTGCTAATGGAAAAAAAAGGTTTTATATAACCATATTATAGTATTCTAAACCAGTTAACCCTGTTACTTTGTCAAAGATTAGGAACTTTTGACCTCGTATCACTTGAATATGATAATAAATAATGATTAAAACTATAGGCATTTCCCTTATTAATTAATCATTCCATAACTAAGTCAATATTCTATATGTTCCCAAAAATTGTTACACTGAGGTGAAAAAAAAAAACAAAATGATAAATATAATAGCTCATATATATCAGGTATGAAACAATTATTCCTCATTACACATTAATATGGAAAAAAAAAATCTTGATAGAAATTAATGGAATTCTGAAATGTACATACCTAATATAAAATTTAGAAAAAGTTCTAACATTTTTTTAAATTAAGTTTATTTAATTAGATACCTTCACAAAGCGATCATTGGAACATGTTGCCATTCGAGAACCACACTGATCAAAGGCTACTTTTTGAATTAGATTTCTATGATTAACTTCAATTTCTTGAATTTCAAATTCAGACATTGTAATAAATGTAAATACTTGCTTCAATACCTAATAAGTTTTAGGCGACTGTTTTTTTATAGCACCACTTTTTTAGTAGATTTAACAATAAACATGGTGGACATTTTTTATTTACATACAGGGTCCGGCGATAGTGCGTCGTAGCTCCTATAATAAAAAACTTTTGTATAGATGGTAAAAAAAATATATACAGAAATTTTGTATAGATGCCCAATGCACTATTGCCGGACCCCATATACCAATAAAAAATGTTTACCAAGTACACGAGTACATTCTCGATCACAAACCGGAGGTAAATCACATTTGGATATAAAATAGAAGGAATTAAAATAGTTAAAAAAATGTGTACCCATTTTTTATAACTGATAATGCTGCTTCAATAAAAAAAGCGGTATACCAAAAAAGCTACGGAAAAAAAGGGTTCAACTGCGAGTTTCTCATACATGGAGGATTTTTTAATAAATAATTGCAATTTAAATGGTAGTTATGCACTTTTAGAACATACAAACATTGCTTAAACATTACTAACCTTTACATATTGATCACTAGAGCATGTTGCCATTCGATCACCATAAAAATCAAATGCTACATCGTGAATTAGATCCTTATGCTCCGCTTTTATTTCCTGAGCTTCAAACATTTTTAGAAAAAAAAACTTAAAATAATAATTTCAAACAATTTTTTTCTAACTTTGGCTTCTTAAGGGAACATAACCATACTTTCCTCTGTCATTTATCCACAGAAGCACTCATACTCATATAACCATAGCTAAAGGATTAAATTATACATAAACTTTGGCACGACATGCCAACCCTGGTATACTTATTTTAAACTACAAGTAAACTACGTATTTTACAATGACTAATAATAAAGAATACTTTAGTCATTGGTATTTTACATATTTGAAAATTAACATTTTTCTATACATCCTTGATCTTTTAGATTCCAAATTTTTGTTCTATGGTAAATAAAAAACAAAATTGCTTGAAAATTGTGAAAACCTAACCTGTAATTTATTTGATTTAATTATTAATCACAATTAATCATTTGTTGTCTATGTTTATATTCACTAATCATTACGAGTCCGTGTTACGAGTTTAATATTAAATTTACTCTACTAGTGTACTTGGTAAAACTTTATAAACGAAGTAAGTCTTACAGAATAACATTCTAAATTAATTTTGTCAATGATTAATCTACCTAATTTTGCATATGCAGTTTTTATGATGTCATTTATTTTGTTTGTTGCAGATTTATTTATCATTGAATTTTTGTTAGTATAATCTGATTAAAATAATCTTATCTATTATCATTTCTATACTTGAGTTATGTTTTATACCTACTTAGACATTAGTTAAACCCTTGTTTATATATTGTTAAACACAATTATAGGTGATCCTAGCTTTTTCTCTATACATAACAATGGCTGCAGCAAGGCTGAGTCCTTTAGACCCAAGTTCATTTTCTCGACCAGGTGTGTGAAATAGAACTCTAATGTGTGATTTTTTTAATACCTTTTAATTAAAAAACTATTGGTATAACACTACTTATATCCTTTTTAGAGTATGTAAAAGTGGTCAACATATCTCTGAATTTAAATGTAAACTTTGATAAAAAGATATTATCTGGTACCACTGAACTTACTGTTGAAAAAATTGATAAAACAGTTAATGAAGTTGTAAGTAAATTAACTTCTATTTGTAATAAAATTTGCTGTAAATACTGTGATTTTTTTTCTAGATTCTTGATACAATGAAATTAAATATCTGTAGAATTTATGATGCTGAAAGTAAAGAAAATGTTGAATTTAGCTTAGGTGATCATGTACCTGATTATGGTACAAAGTTGACAATTAAACTTCCAAATGACGAAAAACTAAGGTATATTAAATAAAGTGACCATCTTGATATATATAATATGATAAGATTTAAGACCAATTACTATTATTAATGTACCGCTAGTCGAAATTGATCTGTTTTAACAGAGAAAACCTATTTCCCGACAAGATAGAGAACCGATATAGATATCGGCTTGATTTCTGAGACACGTTTTATGGCATAAACATAGGGTTTCCATAAAGACTTTTGGAAATTCCGGACAAGTTACCTCAGAAATCTGGACAAATGAACTCTGATATCTGGACAAAATCCGGGCGTCGCAAAAAAGAAACTATAAACTTATTTATGGACTTTTATAGGACGCAAATAATAGCCCGGAAATCAACAAAATATAAACCAAAGTATAGAAAAGGTTACTCTCGAACATGCGCTGATTAAATAGAGCTGTAGTTTCGTAGGGACTAAAATATTCAACAAAGTAACTGAGACATTAATTCAACTGTAACTGTAAAATATTTTACTAAGTTAAATTGTTTTTGCTGTCAGGTTTCCCAGACGCTTTTCCAAATACGGGCCGGACCGTCCCTTACACTAAAACTCCAGACATGTCCAGGTAAATCCAGACGTATGGAAACTCTATATAAACAGGCATAAACCACCTGTTGATATCCTCACTGTCAACTGAGATACCGGGTATTTTTGAATTTTTTTACCATTTTCAAAACTGCCCATAACTTGTTTATTTCGCGGAATATTTAAATTTTGTGAAAACGTTCTTAAGGCACTTTTTCTTAAAGCACAATCCAGCGGTGTAATGAGTTTTTTTTTCTTTTTTTTTATATACTTGGCCTTTTTGTCAGAAATAATAAAAAATATAATTTCATAATGGAAATCATATTTGGTTATGAATTTAAAAAAAATGCTGGTTTTTAACCCTTTCCAAAGATATAAAGTCGGAGTAAGTAAACTGACGAGTAGCGACAGTCCGGTTTTCAATTTTCTTTGCGGCTGCGCGAAATAAGTAGTCTATCTCACAGGTCTATCTGTCATATGAAGAAGCGAAGTTGCCACTGTTGCCATTTATCAAATATCACTATATACTCTATTTCAAGTATGCCTCAGGCAACGAATCATTGTTTTAATTATTTATTAGCTGTAAGATATTTTATACATTCAAATTTAGAAATATGGATTAAACAAAAAAATATGTATAAAACTTTATAATTAATTTCACTTCAATTATGAGCAGCGTATACCATGTTTATAGGACCACTTTATAAGTTGAACAGCTACATAGGTAGTCTATCTGTTAAACACGTCAAATTGTGTATTTTTTTCCGGTGTTCAATGGGGAATTTATATATCTTCAAAATATTATTAAGGTTGCCTACCCCTCAGACAAAGGTTTTCCCAGATATTTTAATTTTTATGATTTTGCGTCAGTAAATCTTATTTGAAAAAATCTAGGTGGCTGCGTGATGTACCTTTTGTTAATTTACCAAAAATTAAAGACGTTGAGTAAAATACTCATGGGTAATTAAAAGATACACGTTTAAAACATATTTTAATTATTACAGAATTAAAACTAGATATAAACCTATAATTATGCGACAAAAATTAGCTAGATGAAATCAAATGCTCAAAATGCTTTCTTTCCTGTTAACTTCATAAAATGATTGTCTTTTCAAAAGGATCTTTTCATTTTAAAAGGCATATGTGGAGTTCTACCTCGAAAAGTAGCTACAATAATATATCTCATGTTGTCGACACTAGATGGTGGAGTTTTGTAAACAATGTCTTTAGCATATCCCCATAAAAAAACCTAAAAGCCTAACCTAACCAGACTAGATAGAATCAGGAGCATTTAAGCACAGAATATCTAGCTACGCTAGCTTGCGTAGCTAGATATTCTGTGATTTAAGTATTTTATTAATTGGCGAATGCACACTGCATTCACCAACTAATATAATCATATCAGTTCTCTCTGATGTAGGATAATGTTTGCATTTTCGGCAAATTTCTGAGAACTTTTTTTGTTTTAACTGACACAAAATGAGAACTAGTTGTTAAAGTTGGACTAATTAGACAGCTATGTTGAAGTAACGTCAGACATATCACCAGCCACCTAGATTTTATCAAATAATAAAGATTTACTCAGATCAAATCATGTAAATGAAAATATCTAGGAAAATCTTAGTTTGAGGGGTAGGCAACCTTAATAGTATTTTGAAGAGACATGCATTCTCCATTATATTTTTTCATAATTTCTGACAAATAGAGCAAGTATAGAAATAAAACTAACTACGCCACTGGATTGTGCTTAAAAAAGTGCCTAAGGAGATTTGTACAGAATTTTATTATTCCACGAAATAAGAAAGTTCCTATGGACAGTTTTGAAAATATTCAAAAATTCAAAAAGACCCCATATCTCAGTTGGCAGTGAAAATCACCAAAGCGCAGGCGGTTTGTGCCATTAAACGTGTCTCAGAAATCGAGCCCATGACATATTTATATCGGCTTTGATCTATCTAGTCAGGAAATAGGTTTTCGCTGTTAAAACGTACCAATTTCGACCACAATGCAATGTACTCTTTTTACTTATTAGTTAGAATTTTGAAATACAGGGTCCGGCATTAGTGCGTCGGGCATCTGTAGCTCCTAGAATAAAAACTTGGGAATTTTGTTTAAGTGCAAACCTAAAGTATGTACTAGGATGTATTTCAGGAAAATATTTTAACTTCTATAAGGTGGCTCAAAAAAGTGTGAGTGGATCGGGATTACACCCTGTATATTATTGCATTTTTGGCTTCCTTTCAGGTCACTTTACGTAATTCTAAAGACAAGAGTAAATATGTTTCGATAATTTCAGAGATATTAATAAATAAATAAAATTTATATATTTTTCAGACTTTCTTAAAAAATTATTAATAATACAAGAACTGTCCTGAAATCAAAACTATATTAGATATTTACTTTAGATGGTCTGTACTTACTTTCCTATAAATATGGAAATCGTATATCATACAGGATGTTCAAAATTCTACACCAAACATTGTAAAATAGAATAATTTTTCTTCGTTTTTTTTTTAAATGGAACACCCTGTATATTATTTCTTCAATAGATGGATAACTAAAAAATGAACATTTTTTGTATTTAGAGTATTTCAAAATTTTTAACGGTTTCGCAGATATTCCCGGTTTTGTATTTCATATGGCATTTTCCATAGTAAATTTCTATCAAAGCCACCCAATGATTTTTCTCTCGTATTTTACCATTGAAAGCGCCATATCAAATAATACTGCGTGTATCCGGAAAACTATTAAAATTTTTGATATACTTTAAATACAAAAAATGTTCATTTTTTTAATTCTCCATCTAATAACAAAATAATATACAGGGTGTTCCATTTAAAGAAACGAAGAAAAATTATTTTATATTTTTGAAAGTTTGGTGTAGAATATTGAACATCCTGTATGATTTACGATTACATAACATATTTATAGCAAAGTAAGAACAAACCATCTAAAGTAAATACCTAATATGGTTTTCATATCAGGACCGTTCTTGTATTTTTATTATTTTTTAAGAAGGTTTGAAAAATATATATTTTTGATTAATTTTTAAATATCTCTGAAACTATCGAAATAAACTTACTCATATCTTAGTAAAGATATGTAAAGGAAGTCAAAAATGCAATAATATACAGGGTGTTCCATTTGAAAAAAATCATCCAGATCCACTCACACTTTTTGAGCCACCCTATAGAAGTTAAAATATTTTACGGAAATACATCCTGGTACATACTTTAGGTTTGCACTTAAACAAAATTCTCAAGTTTTCTATTCTAGGAGCTACAGATGCCCGACGCACTATTGCCGGACTGAGAATTATTGTTCTTATTTTTGTGTTACAGCATTAATTTTAATCAAATACTGGTAAAAATAATCTTTTTTCTATTAATTAATGACATACAGTATAATCCGCATAAAATGTACTCGAGGGCACCAAGAAATATGGTATTAGATTAGATACTTTGAAGTGGCTATCGGCCTGATCCACTGTGGCCTTTTAACGATGGCTTGATTCATCAATCCCATTAGCTTTAGATGCCTATTCAGATTACAGTGCCCTGTTAGTAGACCCACTACAGCGTGGACTGCCTTTGCTTATCAGATCTGCCGAGAATTTTGGCGCTATTATGTTCTACTATGACTTTTTTCGCCTGTCTCTATGTGCCGCCCAAGCACATCATTCAGTTCATGTTCAGTTTTCGCACCATTGGCAATGAACTAGTGCAGTTTTTTTCTTGTATTGACTAAGAGTGGGTCCCAGGTGGGGCCCTCCACTGCGGCCGCGAGGGCCTATTGTGGCTCAGTTTCTACAAGCTCTTTAATAGAAAAAGAGTATTAAAGTTCACCCTCAAGACCCACCCTTTTAACATAGGCTGTTATGTCCGAGGGTGATATGTCTCCTAGGTCTGCTAGCTTTAGAATGGGTTTGCCAAACATCTCAAGCCTGGTCCTGCCCAGGGTTGGAATGATTTAAATCAAATGATTTAAATCAAGTGATTTTTTTAATTTTAATCATGTGGTTTAAATCAAAAATTAATTTTATTGAAACTTTATAATAAATCAAAAAATAACTGTAAAAGTTATCAATTGAACCGATTTTTGAAATAATTTCGTGTGAATCCATAAGACCGCTAAAGGCAGGGATTTATTTTAAAATTTATGTACCTACTATACAAATACATATCATTCGCAGACTGATGCAGAACTAGGTTCTTCTGATATAGAGACTATATCTTCATTCCCGAAAATCTATAATCGTATGTTTTTTTGAAACGTTGGTATGTTTCCAAATTCTTACCGACATTTTGATTTGCAGTAAGTACCTACTTTACACTTTGACATTAGATAATACTAATTTCATTCGCGACTTAAGACTATTTCCGAACAATATAGCCGGAGGGTTGGCGACATATTTAGAGAACATATTTTAGGCAAGTTAGAATAACAAAAAAAAATAAAGTTTAATAACTTGTGAACCCAGAATCCTAAGTCTGGCTAGGGGGTTGGGGGTATTTCGCTACTGCGCAACCCATAACATTTGCAAAAAAATAAATCCAAAAAACATTCTTTAGGCAACTTGAAATTTGTTTATTCTTAAATTTTAGCATCTATTTAACCTAGAAATAAGTGTGCCAGACTTTTTTCGGGTTTAAAGTGTAACCAGACCATTCCAAATATGTTTAATTATATTATACCTGGAAAACATACTTTAGGCATTCTAAAATGTTTACAGCGTGTGTATTAGATGATATTAAAAAATATGTGTTAATAGCCAGACGAATTCAATGGGATTTAATACTTGCCAGACGCGAATAAAGATTTTAAATGAGCGCGACAAAAAAGTCTTATGAGTATCTATAAGCGCGAGAAAGATAGTTTATTGAGACCCGTCGGCAGCCGATGCGGCTGTCGTAACAGAATTTTGGAGTACTTCAAATTTTCATAAAAACAATTTTTTTTCGGTTTCATTTCAATTATTTGCAGGCTTTTAATTCAGAGATTATTTTGTGGGAATTAAGTTACCATGTACAAATATGTATTTATAAATTAAATATTGACGTGCATAGTGTAAATAGTTTAGAATAATTACTGCAAATAAATATTTTAGTAACTACTAATTTCGCTACTAACTACTAAATCACAATGGATAAAAAACATTTAAGTTGTGTAGTTTGTAAAAAAGTTACTAGTGACAAAGTTATTGTTTTTGATGAAGGCAGACTACAAAAATGCAAAGAATTTTTAAAAGTGCGCCAACAACATGGTTTAAAATTTAAAGAAGTGGTTTTACCAGAAAACGTAGTCCCGACAAAAGGGTACCATGTACAGTGCTAAAAAAATAAATATTCTGGAATTTTAGTACCATTGTTAATCTTTCTAAATAGATTCAAAAGTAAGTAAAAGTGCTTTACTTTTATGCTTAGGCGTTAAAATGACTTTTTTATATTGTCAATCAGGTCGCAAAAATTAATAATAATATAATATGTCACAAAAGTATAATAATAATTATACTTTTGTTGCGTTTGAAAAAAATATATTTTATATTATGCTAATTTTTAAATAATTATTCGTCTTTTTATTCTTTCAGATATATAGACAAAATACTTAAATTAAAAAGTCTTCTTATTGAAAGGAAAATTTTAGAATGCCTAAAGTATGTTTTCCAGGTATAATAATTAAACATATTTGGAATGGTCTGGTTACGCTTTAAACCCGAAAAAAAAGTCTGGCACGCTTATTTCTAGGTTAAATAGATGCTAAAATTTAAGAATAAACAAATTTCAAGTTGCCTAAAGAATGTTTTTTGCATTTATTTTTTTGCAAATGTTATGGGTTGCGCAGTAGCGAAATACCCCCAGCCAGACTTAGGATTCTGGGTTCACCAGTTAATAAACTATACATTTTTAGTTATTCTAGCTTGCCTAAAATAGGTTCTCTAAATATGTCGTCAGCTCTTAGGCTAATAGTTTATTGTTTTATTAAGAGTAGAAATTATACTTTTTTGACGATGCTGTACGTTTTGAGGACCATCGTAAAGCTATTCCTACGTTACAAGGAGGCACAAAAAGTACATTTTTACTTCGAATAAAACACCATTTTTTTAAAACATTACAAATAATTTTTTAATCAATTTCAAACATTGCAACTAATACAAACAGTAATCGAGAAACGATTTCTACACTCGTTGAATTTGACACCTAATATTAGTTTAATAATATATTTTTGCACTTTTGTGCTTAGGCGTAACAGTGCTTTACTTTTATGCCTAGCCGTTAAAATGACAAAAATTAATACTTTTGAGACGTTTGAAAAAATATCCTTTTGATCTGAAGGGAGCGACTTTTTTTGCGGAATATATTGGTGACCGATGTGGAGAAATGACACGCGCCGTAGTATTGTTAATGTTATCGGTATCGCTCAGAGTTATAAAGATTTAGCCATTTAGGATAGGCCTTTAAATGGAAATAAGTCCTAGTCATTTGGAAATCCGATTTTAATATTGTTTTGAATTAAAATCAAAAAAATCTGATTTAAATAAAAAAAAATCTGATTTTTTTGATTTTTAAAAAAAAATCATGATTTTTTCCAACACTGGTCCTGCCCCCAGCGGAGCAGGTACACATAACGTGCTTCATTGTTTCGTCATCTTCAATACCAGAGTCGGCATTCGGCGTCTTCCACAAGTCCCATCTTCTGTAGGTGTGATCTCAGCCGGCAGTGACGCGTGTATACTGCATTGAGCGTACACGCTTCATTCTTACCAGCCTTTAGGAGTTCTCATTTCTACGTTTGGATGGCCCTGCTAGTATTTTCTTGGCATGTTTTTCCTTATATGCACTTCTATTATAAGCAAGTGCGTTATAGTTGTGGATTTATACTGTATTGTAGTTTTTCGCCTAATGATGAACGACAGTAAACTTAAGACAGTAATTTTAAAATTAATTATCTTATTGTAAACTCCACTCTTATAAAGTTAACTTATTCTTGCAGATATAAAATTGCTATTGATTATCAAACCAGCCCTGATGCGACAGGATTGCAATGGTTGTCTCCTAAGGCAACTGCAGGCCAAAAATATCCATATTTGTTCAGTCAATTTCAGGTAACGTCTGCTTCAGTAAAACGTAATTTTTTACTATTTAAAGAGTTATTAGTGAATATGATAATTTACTTTTATTTTATTTGTTTTTAAAAGAGATAGATAAATTTATAAACATTATACTAATGTATTCCGGGTGCGGTGCGTCTCAAAAGTAGCTCACCCCTATAACTTTTTTATATTTTCATATTAAAAAACGAGATTTCGTATGTTAGTATAAAGACATAAATTAGGATTAATTAACGGATTCAATTATTTTCGGCCACTTCTTGTTTCACCGGAAATTACTAAGACTTTTGATTTTTAAATGGCACCCTCTCTATTTTTTTATTTTATTCGATAGAAAATGACACTCTGAATAGAATGACATATCATACGCGAACTTTTGACACTTAAAACAAAATTGTGTTTTAAATTTCAATCTAGAATGCCGTGGCTGTGTTAAAAACACTAATTTAAATCAATTTTTGATCAAGGAACCTTGGAAAAATAGATTTGATCGTCTAATATTTTTAGTGTCTTGTTCTGACCGATTAAAAGATGCCCAAATCGTAGTTTTAATCATATCTCAATTTTTTCAAATGGAACAAGGGTGACTCATTAGCATATTTTTTGGAAAAGGCATTTTTTACGAATAATTTGGTGCCACACACTTGATATTTCGAGTGAAATTGTCGTTATGAATCGCATGTTCACCATATTCGAAAATGTCAAAAGTTGACATCTGATACGTTATTTTATTCAGAGTGTAATTTTCTATGGAATAAAGTAACAAAATACCGAGTGTTCCATTTAAAAAGTTGTAGTCATTTCCGGTGAAACAGGAAGTGACCGAAAACAATTGAATACGTCAATCAATATAACAAATAACATAACAAATCGTCAGTGAAACGTGATAACCTGCTAACTCCATTTTTTATGTGAATAAGTTTTTTTTACACCATTAGAAAGAGAAAAAAATACTCTATAAGTAGGGAAAGCAAATACATTTTTTAACATTAAAGGAAATTTGCTATTTTAACTCAAGAATATCTGCTAACTCCCAGTGATCTGAAATAGCCACCGAAATGCTGCTATCTCCGTAATTTCCTTTATCACGCTAGATCACGCTAAAGCAAACACACGGATTCTTACTCTTATGTTTCTTTAGTACAGTACGTCGATCCAGGGTCGCACTGGGCTAAAGGGGCCCGGGTGGCAATGGAAGGAGGGGCCCGTGTGGATTTTTTTGCGTATTTTTTCGCCTTACGTTTTGGCCAATTTTTCCCTATTATATACAAGGTAAGTCTTAAATAATTGCAAATATTTTTAGGGGTAATATATTTCGACCCAAGAAACACGATTATAAGTTTTTTTTGCGCGAAATTGTTTTTTCAAAATTTGGAATTTTTTTTAATTTTTAGTTTAAAAACATACTTTTTTTGTAATATGGCAACATATAAGATTTAGAACATAAGAAAATCAAATGATTCTCAAAATATCGGTAAAAAGAAAATATTATGTTTCTTTTATGGAGATTTACCAGCCCCGAAAATATTTGCACTTATTTAAGACTCACCCTGTATAGAAATCAGGGAACTACCCTAATGCAAGATAAACCAATCCAATGCAAATGCCATAATGCAATGCAAAAGCAAATATTGTTAACAATAAATAATGAACTATAAAGGGGTCCGCAAAGGCTGGGGCCTCCCTAATAGTTATATACAGGGTGTTTCAAAACAAATGCGAAAAACTTCAGGGGGTGATTCCTTGTTCAAAATAAAGGGTAGTTTGCTTCATAAACGTTGGGTCAAAAGTCAACCATTAGGGAGATATTGCGGTACAAAGATGGCGGAAAAATAATGTTTTTATTTTTTATCTTGAAAACGAGAAGAGATAGACTAATAAAATTTTATGGAAGTATTACTGTTATGAAAACACACTTTCTGGTAATTTTTTCACTTTTTTAAAATGAGTGGAAGGGGTTGAAATAAACTACCCTTATCATTCTTGTTAACGAAATTTAAAGAAAAATCTTATCAAACACATGCAAAAAAATTAATTTGGATAGTTTAGTTTGTTTAGAAACTTTTTTATCTCTTGTATTTTTTTGATAAAACTCACCGATTTGAAATTAAAAAATAAAATGTAAAGCATTACATGTCAGGACAAATAACATTTTCTTATAAAGAATCTAGTGGGCTGCTGTAATTTTTTAGGAAAAAAATCTAGTCGGCCGCTGTTACTTTTAAGATGTTCCTAATATTATTTTATTTGACATTACTCTACTGCAATACGTTATTTTCTAGATGATTATTATTATCGTTATTATCACTAGATTCTTAATCTAAAAATGTTTTTTGTCCTGACATGTAATGCTTTACATTTTATTTTTTAATTTCCAATCGGTGAGTTTTATCAAAAAAACACAAGAGGTAAAAAAGTTTCTAAACAAACTAGACTATCCAAATTAAAGCATTTGCATGTGTTTGATAAGATTTTTCTTTAAATATCGTTAACAAGAATGATATGGGTAGTTTATTTCAACCCTTTCCACTCATTTTAAAAAAGTAAAAAAATTACCTGAAAGTTTGTTTTCATAACAGTAATGCTTCCATAAAATTTCATTAGTCTATCTCTTTTCGTTTTCAAGATAAAAAATAAAAACATTATTTTTCCGCCATCTTTGTACCGCGATATCTCCCTAATGGTTGACTTTTGACCCAACGTTTATAAAGCAAACTACCCTTTATTTTGAATAAGGAATCACCCTCTAAAGTTTTTCGCATTTGTTTTGATACACCCTGTATATAATATGGCCAGTCCGACCCTGCGTCGATCCGTTTTGTAAATACGGGGTATCTGTAAAGGGTAAGGGGAAAAACGAAATTCTGTATATACGAGCAATTCATCGGCGTGCTATAAATAGTTTAAATATCCATTACTTACTTGTACAAGAATTTCCATAATACCTAATCAGCTTTATTTTTTTCAATGTTTTTCCACGCAAATGATACATAATTTTTATAAAAATTGAAAAAATAAATAGAAAAGTAATCAAAATTTAATAAAATTACGCACTGTTTTCCATGCTCGGTCTACTACCGTTGTATAAAAATTAGGATAGGCATGGAAGGATTCTATACCATATCTTCTAAGAATTATAAATTTAATTTTTAAATTATTTTCATATTCATTAAGTCCAAAATGCTGCTATTTCAGTTCTTTAACAATGCATTAAAAATTTATTTGTTTTTGGACTTGTATGTTTTGCTTCTAGATCGACGATATTATAAATAACATATATGGTTATGAATATCATATTTTTAAATTTAATTGATTATTTCTAAATCTGTTTGGGTAATATTCAATTCCATTTTCAAAATTTCAAACAATAAAGGTTGCTATCTCCAGAAGTATATTTTTATTTCTTATTTCTGCAAGACGAATATCTCCATATTGTGTCTGAAAAAAATGACGTAACACGAAATATTGAGTTTTATCATATTAACGCATGAAAATACTTCCTACATGTATACATATTTTTTGTACCGTTTTTTTGCTCTCCTGTAAAATTAGGAATAATGGAGTTAGCAGTTTACCACATTTCACCGACGAATTCTCGATTTTTTATCTGAAAAAATAAAAAAGTTATAGGGGTGAGCCACTTTTGAGGCGCACCCTGTATATTTTTTTTTACTTTTAGCCTACACATGCACGTTCTGTACTTCCTTGTCAGGATAGTCCAGGAGTAAAAGCCCCATATACAGCAACTGTAAGTGTATACTATAGAATAAGTCTAAAATAATTATTATATGAGATTTAAATCTTAAAATTAGATTTATGCGTAATATTTTCATCTATATATTAACTAATTTTTAGATATCCGCGCCCCATGAGTTTACTGTTCTCATGTCAGCCATTCGCGATGGCACTAAAGAATTATCTGTAGGAAAATTGTCTCATTTTATTCAGAAAATACCGATGCCGTCTTATCTGATTGCTTTGGCGGTGGGAGTTTTAGAATCAAGACAACTTGGACCTAGATCTCATGTTTGGTATGTTAAATATTTTATAACATTTTGGGAAAAATTATTAGTAAGACCTCGCTTGACGCAACTGGATTATTAATAATAATCCAGTTGTTTACATATGAACAGATTATAACTTAAAAGTAACTTAACTATTTTCTTACCTGTCATTATTATTAATTCATTTAATACCTAGTAATTCAAATTTTATCAGTTAGCTTAAGTATGCGATTTAAGATTCCCTATTTTATATGTTAGATTAATTTTTCTGGGTACCTACTTCATAAATATTTGGAAAATTTGATATAACTCATTAACTACATAGTAATGTAATTTTATGATACCGGATGTTTCAAATTCGACTCTCGTTGGGATATTGAAAACGATAAAGATATACAGGGTTGCACAAATTGTCTGTCAACGTACCCAATGAAAATCTGATGTTATTGATTTTATAATTTTCGGAAATATGGCAGAAAAACTGAAATTTTGCGTTCACACATTCTCAAATATTTTTTTTAACTTCCCTTTTAGTTTGATTTAGCAAAAAAATAATTTACGACGTTTCGTTTTTCTGAAATAAAAGAAATTTCCGTTATATATATTTTTTTAAATGCGGACCTGGATTTTTTATTTCCTTTTTTAAAATTATTACTTATTACTCCCCACATTTGCCAAGAAAGTGTATATTAAAAATATTCCCATAAAAGACTGATTGTGTCCGTGTAAAAAAATAAACAACATTTTTTAGTCTGATATATCTTTGTATTTGAGAGATCATAAGCTTTAAAAAAAAAGAGATAAAAGATCCAGGTCTGTATTTAAAAAAAAATAAAATTGACCATTGTTCTAAAATACAAAACGTTGTAAATAATTTCTTATGTCAAAACATTTATGATACATATCCACCATATTTCCGGAATTGGCAAAGGTAAGTTCAATTTCTAAACGGATATCATTGGTCTCATCAACAGGCAACTTAGCCGCAATTTGAGACGCCCTGTATCTCTTACCGTTCCTGAAATCCCAATAGTAAACGTCAAATTTGAAAGACCCGGTATATTTATTTTCTCTGAGAGTTTAGCGAGAAAATTTTCATCAAAGCCATCTAATGATATTTTGTCCAATATTTTACTGTCAAAAGAACCAAATATAATATGTTAAAAATATCTGTTTTTTTTTTGTATTCTTCATGGCTACTGATCGCTATTCAGGAGTTCCTACCCCTGCTGTCAGACTGTCCCCGCCTGTTGGTCGGGTTTGCTTATAGCGACCGACTAAACCTTTCCCTTGTTTTCTCTCAAGTGCGGTCGGAACTGCCCTAAGCATTACTTCAACCTCACAAAGTATCCTCTATTGACAATGTCTATACTTTTCCTTTTCTATCTTTTCCTTCATTATATTCGTAGTCTGCTGACACTTTTCCACTCGTTCTCGCCTCTTAGGAGGACTTCTACTACGTTGTCTTTCGTAATTTTATGCCCAATCTCGTTTTATGTTTGTACCCTGTAAGCTTCAAACTTTGGACATACAAACAAGGTGTATTCTGGGGTATCCACCTCTTCTGCACAAAACCAACAGCATGCATCCTGCTGTTTTTTATTCTTCGCAGGTATGAGCCAAAGACCCCACGACCAGTCATAGCCTATGATGTATAAAAATTCACATCAACCCATCTTCTTTCACTTCATTTTCTAATGTCTTTCATAAGCCCACCCTTGGTATTCATTCCATCTTGTTTGCCACTGTGAAGTAAGTCATCTGCTTAGCCTCCGCAGCATAATCTTTTCCCCTTTGATAAATGAGGTCCCGTTCTTTCACCAGCAGTTCTATTGGAGCCATTCCTGCAAAAGCTGTAGGCCGATATGATGCTTATTGCCATTCTACGGTTATGTCGTAGATAGGATTTAATCCCGTCCCGATAGGATTTAATTTTCAACTCCGATTTCCAAGCTAAATAATAAATAACCCCGATATAATCGTTGTTTGAAAAAATAAGAAGATACGCAACCTTATGGGCGATTTCGTGGCACAAAATATGTCCGAAATGCAGCTGGCGTTACGGTCAGGATGTCCGAGACTTCGTTTAGCTCTGCGCCGCTAGTCGTTTACAGCGCAACCGATAAAGAATAGTGTACCATAGTTCTGCTTTCAGCCGACAGAGTGGGTGGTTGCCGGAGACAGTATTGCCAGAACTACGGATTAATCCGTAGATTTACGGATTTTCTATCATTATACAATTTAATATATTATACGATAAAACAAAGAACGGCGCGGCGTCAGAGTTTGATTGGAAATGCAGGTCGCTGTTATTTCTTAATATGTAAAATATTATGATAAATGTCAATAATCGTTATTTCCAAGCCAATTAAACGACTTTTTTCGATCATACAAAATATTTAGTACCTATAAAAGAATTTGTATTTTTGTTTTATTTAACACTGACGCGGATTTTTCATCCAAAGATATTTTCATCAAACGTATTACAGATATTACACATTTTAATATGGCAACACTGTCGCTTTCAGTTTCACACCGTCTTCGATATGCTTCGCTGGCCGAATTAGAGAAAATAAGTGTGCGTTGGCTGCATAACGAGTGGCGGCTTTACCGTACAGCACTTGAGACGTAAAGGGAAATCAAATCAGCCTTGTCACGAATTCGCCCATTAGGTTTGGTATCTTCTCAATTATTTCAATCAACGATAGATATAACATAATATATTATCTATAGACCTGACGCTCTGTTACAATACCATGCCTTCTAGCGATTATTTTTTATTTTATAGGGCTGAGAAAGAAATAATTGAAGAATGTGCCTATGAATTTGCAAATACCGAACATCAGCTTAAAACGGCAGAAGATTTGTGCGGACCTTATGTCTGGGGAATATACGATTTATTAGTTTTACCACCTAGTTTTCCTTATGGTGGAATGGAAAATCCATGCCTCACATTTGTTACACCAACATTGTTGGTAAGGAAAAGGAACAAAACAGTATGTCCAATTTATTTCTTAATTAATGGTTTCAATTTTAGGCTGGTGACAGAAGTCTCGCAAATGTAATTGCACATGAAATAGCGCATAGTTGGACTGGAAATCTGGTTACTAATAGAAATTTCGAACACTTTTGGCTGAATGAGGGATTCACTGTTTTTATAGAACGTAAGATAAAAGGAAGATTAGAGTCATCAAAGAGTCAAGATTTTGATGCCTTTATTCATATTAGTAACTTAAATGAAGCTGTAAGTAAACAACAAATGTTTGAATGAGTATTTTTTACTAGCTAGTTGTATTTCATCAAGCGCTAGTACCTCATTATTTTACTCTAACATAATAAATGTGTAGTTTTGGGCTTGGCAAATATGTAATAAAATTCTATATTATGATAATGTCAATGTTATTAGTCTCTAGTAGGTGTTGCAATATTAATATTAATTATTACTAATTTTTAGGTTAATTTAATAGGGAAAACAAATCCTCTGACGCAATTAGTTGTTAACTTAAATGGGGTACATCCAGATGAGGCATTTTCAGTTGTTCCTTATGAAAAAGGGCAGACATTCTTGAGATATTTGGAATCTGTGATCGGTGGCCCAGGTATATAAAATGATTTTTTTCTAATTTTGCTGGATAATTTTCATCATAGAGAAAAACTATTAAAATTTTCAAAGGTGCATCATGCTATTCGAAAATTCTTCTATACTTAGTTATACCGGGGCGCCTCAAAAGTGGCTCAGACCTTAGACTAAAACTTCTAGACGGAGCAAGTCATTCATAAATCTACTACAACCATGTTCCACTTAGCCTGCTTAGAATGGAATCACGGAGGTTAAAATATCAATGAAAAGCCTTGAGTGGGGATAAGAACTTGGGACAGCAAATTTGGCGCGGCGATACTGGCTGGACTAATCCAATGGCGTACTGGTTTTCGCAATTTCCGGAATATGAATTTAATTAAATTAATATAAAATTAAAATCGTTCTTTAAAAACCCGTGTTAGCTAGTATAAATCTCAAAATCTTATTTTTATTTTGATTTACATTTATACAAGACGCCTTAAATTTAATAGCATAGCATTTTAAAATGTCTTTATTTTATTAATTACCGATTTAACATAACATTTTTTTTCAAATTACTACCATATTAGTTATAATTTTCAAGCTATGTATAAAACTCCGATTTATATATCAATTTAATTGTTATGTATATTTACTAACAGGTGCATTTTTTATTTAATGCTTTATAAAATATTTTTTCATTATTTTATAATCCTAAAACTTTGAAACCAAATTAAAAATAAATTTAAATATCTTTTATGCATGATTTAAATCATGTTCAGTGAATCTCGATTAGCACATACCTTGTGTTTTTCAGAAGTGGTTCGCTCCTATAACTTTTTGATTTTTTCCAAATAAAAAAATGAAATTTTGTATGTTACTAAATGACATAAATCGGGATTGATTGTTTTCAATTACTTGTTTCACCGGAAATGATTTAAACTTTTGAATTTTAAATGGTGCTCTAGGAAATTTTTTTCACTTTATTTGATAAAAAATTACATCATGACCATAGCATTCTAGAGTGAAATTTAAAAAATACCAATAAAAAACAACTACAATATAAACAAGCAGGTTTAACTTTGACAATTAATGACAATCGACAGTAATTTTACAATAAGTTTTTACAAATTAGTTGAAGGGTTGTTTTTTACCCTAACTTTAAAACACCCTGTGCAATAATTTCGAGAGCAAATTTTCCTAAAACATTATTTTTTAGTGAGAACCCCCATCCTGAATATCATCAGTCATGTTAACACACGCCTTGGTTAATTTTTAAGAGCAAAATTAACTGGCCACAAACATTTTGCAATGTTTTCGATTATTATCGTTTCTTTTTAATGTTATTCTTCATTCATCTACCCGAAGCCCCATCTCGGGATATTAAAATATAACATCACATTTAAATTGTTGGTGGCAATTTCATTTCGCTCTTAAAAAATGAACCAAGGCATGTGTGCATGAGTTAAAAACAAAATGCTCAGGAGACATGGTTCTGATCGAAAAATACTGTTTTACGAAAAGTCACTCACTAAATTATTGCACAGGATGTTTTAAAGTTAGCGTAAAAAACAGCCGTACAATTAACCCTGTATAATAAACCAAATACTGAAGTTTATAAAAAACTGAATTTATTAATTAAAGTTGATATATAAAGTTTGCCAAAAAAATCATTAAAATAGGGCTAAAAGTAAAAGAAATATCACATTAAACTTGACGAAAAAATTATCCGTTGGGTTTTTACTACATCTGAGTGTATATTAAAAATATATTTAAAAAATACATAAACAGACACATACATAAAATATAAAATATAGGAATTATTAATATATTCGACTATAAGATGGGTATTTACTTTGTAGGAGCGAAATAAAAACGGGAATCCATGACACTTATCATTAATAATTGTTTTTGATCAGAAATTTTGAAGGCAACACTGACGCCTTTTTTTGCGATCATACGATTTTTACGGGAGCATTGCATTAGGCAACATAACAAAGAACAAAATGTAGGTATTTCCAATTTACAGAGGGCCTACCTAAAGTGCCTTTTTTTGTCTAGGTAAATATTTTTCTTTGTTGTGGTTTATGATTATGATGCAATCTTCCTATGAAATTTCTCATGTAAATAACCATCAAGTTTAAAATAATTTATATTTTATATAGTATATAATTACTAAGTTCCAATGTGGTTAAATAATAATTTCTTTAATTCATCAATCTTGATTTAAAATGAAATGTAACGCTACTGTTTCGAAAGAATCACGTATTTTATGGTAGGTCAGTACTTGCCTGTGAAATGACACATCAGGATTTTTCGAACTATTTTTCTTGCAAACTTGGCACATATCAACCATGATTATACAATATTTATAATTTTTATATCGAATGTCACTTTTTAAAATAATAAATTCACTACTTTTCAGTCAGAAAACACAAAAACACCTACAACGAAATAATCGCAAACACACGTGCCGCCAGTTTACTACGTCCAGATAAGAATTCCAATGTTGCCACGTTGACTGAACTATTTTCTGCTGATTAGATTAAATTATTTATTTTTCTATTTTTATTTAAGAGAACTGTTGTTTTACTTGCTTTAATCACTTAGTAAATGCTTATTATATACCATATAATAATTTTTACACGTAGCATCAATAAATTATATTTTATTAAATAACTTAAAGATAAGTATGTATAATGAATATTCCCTGTTATAACGATAAACTGCATGATATGGCACAATTGTCCCGCAAGACCATTAGACCGTATCTCATCGAAGGAGCCAAACAATGGATCGGCTCGCGCTCTCTATTGTCTTACTCTAAGGCTCAGACCAATAACTTTTTTATTTTTTCAAATAAAAAAACGAGATTTGGTATGTTAGTATATGACACAAATTAGGATTGATTAACGCATTCAATTATTTTCGGTCACTTCCTGTTTCACCGGAAATTACTGCAACTTTTTACATGGTACCCTCAGTATTTTTTAACTTTATTCAATAGAAAATGACACTCTGAATAGAATGACATATCATATATCAACTTTTGACATTTTCGCTTAAAAATGTCGTTTTTAAATTTCAATCTAGAGTGGCGTTAAAAACACTAATTTTTAATCAAAGAGCCTTGGAAAAAATAGATTTGATCGTCTAATGCTTTTAGTCTTATCCTGGCCAGTTAAAAGATGCCCAAATCGTATTTTTAATGATATCTCAATTTTTTTAAATGGAACGAGGGTGGTTCATTACCATTAGCATATTTAGAAAAGACATTTTTTACAAACAATTTGGTACCACACACTGGTACTTCTACTGAAATTGTCGCTATGTCATTCTATTCAGAGTAGTTGTAAAAAAATGCTTTTTCTATATATACTAATGAGCCACGCTCGTTTGATTTTAAAAAATTGAGATATGATTAAAAATACGATTTGGCTGTCTTTTAACTGGCCAAGATAAGACACTAAAAACATTAGAAGATCAAATTTATTTTTCCAAGGCTCCTTGATTAAAAATTAGTGTTTTTAACGCCACTCTAGATTGAAATTTAAAAACTACATTTTTAAGCGAAAATGTCAAAAGTTGATATAGGAAAAAAAACATTTGAATTTTTAAAGCACCCTTTTAAACGCAGTTTTTCTTAATTTTGTAAAATCAAATTTATTTTCAAATATTCCAAATAGCATGGAGATCAAGTCATAAAATTTGGGCCACACTTCAAAGCTTAAAAGGGCCTTACACGCAACGATATCTGAGAGATTTGAGCGGTACAGTCCTTCGATTCAGTCCAAATCTCAACGTGTAATGGCAGTTTCGATAAAATTAAAGAGTTGAGATCTGCTGCGATCTTTCCACATACTGAACATTTTTAACTGCACAGACCAGATTTGGCGGGGACTGTACTAGAATATAGACTGTACTAGATGTACTAGAATATAGAATGTCGAAACGGTCTATTATAAAATCTGAATGTGTAGTGTGAAAAGATCGCAATCTATCTGATCTTAAGATCCAAACTGTGTGATTTGGCATGCAGATCAAATCGTTGCGTGTAGGTCCCCTTTTACTGTCGCTTCTGTACAGCTCAGACGTTCTGTGACATTAGAGCTCATATTAGACCATAAATTCGTAACTCACGTTATAAAAAATGGCAAATAAAAATTATCGATGGTTATATCATAGTGACTATGTATACTATAATGTCGCCGTTTTTTTTTTTTATTAAATAGTGTGGAATATTTAATATTATAATTAATATTTAATACTACTTATTCTATTGTAGAGAAAATGGAGCCGTTTTTAAGATCATATTTTGACAAATATAAGTACCAGTCTATTGATACCAACGATTTTAAGGCTTATTTTGAAGAGTATTTTCATGATAATGAAAATCTTCAAGAGATTGACTGGTCTGCTTGGTTGTATAATCCTGGAATGCCACCTGTTATTCCAGACTATGATACATCTTTAGCTGTAGTGTGTGATAATATTGTAGAGAAGATTACAGCATGGAATGGAGATGAGCCTGCTCCAATTACTCTAAAAGACAAAGAAACACTATCCACCTTTCAGGTAATATACATCTTGCAAAAATTGTCTGAAACAACAGCTCAATCTATTGTTAAACTGAAAGTATTAAGTAACATTTTTGGATTTGACAATATCAAAAATGCAGAAATAAAATTCCTCTGGTTTAGAATTTGTCTGAAGGCTCACTGGGAAGAGAAAGTTGATTCTGTATTTCACTGGATTAATGTAGTTGGTAGAATGAAATTTGTTAGGCCATTATATAGAGATCTTTACAATTGGGAAAAGACTCGTGAGTTGGCTCTAGATAATTTTAGAGCTAATAAACAGAATATGATGCATGTATCTGCCTATACATTGGCAAAAGACCTACATATTGATGAATAAAAATATATTAATTCTATCTTCAGATATTTACCATATTTTTTGTGCTTTCAAAAATGTTTTCTTTTAATTTGAAATATGTTACCAATAATTTGATAGTTAAACATATTTTTTTCAATAAAAAAATCATCAACTTAGTCGTTTCCTGATCTATTATTTCTTTAAAGAGAGGTGACATTTTTTAAGACCATATTTAACAAAATAATGTATAAAACATAAATTTTTATGAGACTTAAAAATGTTAAAATAAATGTAGTTTATAATATATTTAAAAATTGTTCATACTATGGACTATCATTTTTTTTTATTAAATTCAGAAGTGATATATAAAAGCCTAAATAGGGAAAATATTAATTTATATGAAAATTGTTTTTATTTATACCAATTAGCTTTTTATATCTATAATGTGAAACTGTTGTAATAAACATTTTTCTAGTTTGTCTGTTTTTTATTACTTCTACATTATTTATACCAGTTACATAACTATTTTAACTATCTAATAATATAATCTTTTGGATAATCAATAAGTTTAGGAAATGTTTTAACTTCCTCCAAATTATATTTATCTAATCTCTTTGGTACTGGCCTTAATTGTCTAATTTGGTTTGAGACATTTTCTAACAAATGTTTGGGAACATTAGCATCTGGAAAAATGTGTAACCTTTGCATTGTATATCTTCTTTGCAAATTGCCATCCATACTATTATAAATCGCTTTTTTCAAAATCTGAAAAAATAAACTGAAGAGTTTACTGTGTTTACCTATTTTGATTTAACAATTACCATAGTGGCATCTTTTCTATGTAAATCCCAAGCCAGTGTCCACGAAGCGCCACCAGGATATCCTGTGTGATGAAAATAAGCTCGTTTCTTCCATTCATCTCCCGGTAATGCAATGTCTGCACTGTTTATAATGACAACATGATCACCACAGTCATCTGCAAAGTTAATTGGATAAATATAGCATGAATCCTTTGAGTAAAAAGACTTTGAGAAGAGAAAAGAAAGGAGTCTAATATTATTTATACATTCATTATCTATATTCATATATCATCATTTATGTTATATTCATATATTAGAGACCGAAAATAAATGAATACAAATCTCAACATCATGACCCCCCATTTTTAAGAGATTTGTTTAGCGTTTCAATTGAAACATTTAAAATTAATTTGAATTATTTTCAGATTTGTAGGACTCTTTCTGGGGTTATTTTATATATCGAATCGAGTGGGTCTCTTAACTCATAAGTGACTCACGCCTATATATGATATGTCATTCTATTCAGAGTGTCATTTTCATTAATAAAGTAAAAAAATACTGAGGATGCCATTTAAAAATAGAAAAAGTTCTAGTCATTTCCGGTGAAACAGGAAGTGACCGAAAACAATTTAATAAGTAAATCAATCCTAATTTATGTCATATATTAACAAACCAAATCTCGTTTTTTTATCTAAAAAAATAAAAAAGTTATAAGGGTGAGCCACTTTTGAGACGGCACCTGGTATATTACCTGGAATATTAGTCTACAATTGGTTCTGTTCAAAGGTAGTAAACCTAGTAGTTATTATGTCAAAACGGTCAGAACTTAAATTAATAGTAGCCTTATTGCGCTCTCAGACCACTTGTGTACTTGGCATACAAGGTCCAGCCATAGTGCGTCGGGAATCTGTAGCTCCTATAATCAACAAGTTAGAAATATTGTATAAAAGCAAACCTAAAATATGTAACTAGGGTTCCCAACTTGAGCATCGGCGATTCCGGGACAATTATTTTTAAGTTTTTAAATAATTGAAACAAAACATTAAATATTAGAAATTCAAATATATTATATGTAAATGTGATTTTTTTGGTCCCGGCCAAGGCAAAATTTTCGCCGGGACAAACTTTCTGATTCCTGGTTAATCCCGGTTAAACCGGGACGTTTGGGAACCCTATATGTAACGTATATTATGTAATATATAGTTTTCATTTCAGGACATTTCTTGTATTTTTAATTTTTTTAAGGCTGAAAAAATATATTTTTTTTTTTATTTATTAATATCTCTGAAACTATCAAAACATATTTAGTAATATCTTAGGATTATGTCAAGTGATTAGAAAGGAATCCAAAAATGCAATAATATATATCCCGATCCACTCACCCTTTTTTTTAGCCACCTATCATCCCTAAAGGGGTGGCCATCTCGGTCTTTCTTCCGAGGAGCAAGGGGAAAGACAAGACCTGCCTACTGAGCCTTATCCAGGGTCAGAACTTCAAAGTAAGGAGTTGGCGAGTTATCAACTCGAGCGAGAACGGTCATGGTCAGGTCCTCACAATAGGAATTGACCTCAAATCCCAGGAAGCAATAGAGAAAGAGGGACATATCCTCTATTATAGATATGGGACCACACCAGTATCAGGTCTAAGGAGAGACCAAGTTAAAGAGGTGGAGACAATGGAGACAGATCCTTCAGCCTAAACCTCATGGGTCCCTCAGCCGGAGGCAAGCTCCTCGACTGTAAAGGGCTTGGAGGGCCAAACTTCAACCGTGAAAGGGTGTGTACCCTTGGAGGAAGAACATACTCTGTTGTCAGAGGATGGGAAATACCCTGTCCCCTCTACAACAGGGGTATGATGTGTTATACACTGTGTGATGAGTTATAACTCAAGGCAGGGTGGCACAATAGAGATCTTTAAGGTTGCAGTGATTAACACCTCTATCACTCATTCTACATTCTAGTCGTCTATAGAAAGTAAAATATTTTCCTAAAATACATCTTAGTACACACATTAGGTTTGCACTTATCCAAAATTCCTAAATACTTTATTCTAGGAGCTTACAGTAACCTAACGCACTATTGCCAGACTTTGTATAAACCAAAAGTGTAAACAAGAGCCATATTAATCCCCCATTGTGAAGTTTATTGGGTAAACCTGCTGTTTAGGCCATGTTTAGGTCGACGAAAATAAAGCGAGTCGTCAGGCAACCGTTAACGATCATATGCGGCGTTGCCATTTAACACATTAACTTTTTAACGGAATTTAGTGATTCCTTGTTTTAAATTGTTAGAAATTTAATTTATTATTAGACATTTAATTTATATAGCAAACGACTACCCATTCGCGGGGCGGGTAAGGTTTATAGGGAATAATACAGAATATAATTATAATTAAGCTGAAACAATTATTATAACTTTTAGTTTCATAAGAATTATGGCTTCTACGATTATTGTAAACCCCGATGAAATTATTGCTGCTGAATTTACTCTTGGAAAACTTCAATTTGAGAAGATTAGTTTTTGATACAAAACTTGAATTGTTGAAGTGGGTGGCAAGGAGGCAGTTAATAAAAAACTCCTTTTTTGTATTGATTGTAATATAGATATGACATTAGTTAAAAAAACAAGGTGTTCTGATGGTTTTATCTGGAGATGTAAAAGTTGTACCAAAGAAAAGAGTGTTCGAGATAATTATTTTTTCTCAAAAAGCAATTTAAGCATTGAGCAGATTTTAATTTTAATATATTGTTGGGCGACTGATATGCCTCAAAAGAATATTGCTCAAGAAGCTGAACTTGGGGAAGGATCTACACATACTGTCATAGATTGGTGTAATTTTGGCTGTGATGTTTGTGAACAAGATGGCTTAAATCACCCAGTACAACTTGGTGGTTTGGACCCGAATACATTGGAGTCGATGGTGGTGGAAATCGATGAGACTTATTTTTTTCATCGTAAGTACCATCTCAGGAGAGCCAGAATTTCCAAACTTTTTAAAGTGCATTGTTGAACAATATCCTATGCAATAAAATATTTTCAGAGTAAAATCTTGATACAATCTTTATCAACATCAGAGTGAATATTTTTCAGATTTCCCTATTTCCAAACCTATATTCTTAAGTTTGGCAACACAGCGGTCAATATCTGGATCGCAATTTTTTGTCGGCCTAAACTGCAGGATTACCGTTTATTGATATGCTCTTTTCCTAATCTTTTTATTCAAAGCATGAATCTGATGTTCTAATTATAAAATATATTTACAGATATTAGACTTACTCATCGGATGATATATAGGTTTATGTACACCCATAAGAAACTTTTTCAATAATTCCGCAGATTTAAAAGGATTCTGCCATGTAGCATCATAAATATGCCATATTCTCGCAAAAGTTGCCCATTGCTAAAAATTCAAAAATATCAGAAAAAATAAATTTTACAATACCACTTTTCGTACCTGCACTCGCTTTAAAGTCGACATTGTAGTGCTTTACCAGGCCTTACAGAGATGCTTTAAAATTAATAAGAAATTACGGTAAATGACATTAATGGAATACTATTAGAGAAAATCTAGTTTAATAAAAAAGTAACATTTCCTACAAAGATTTCCTACACAACTTTCTTATTTATATTATGTGAATTTAGCAAGAATTTAGCATAATTAGTTAGGTTATATTAAACCATATGTGAACTAGAGATGGGCAAAAGTAACCGGTTTTTTGAATAACCGGTATTTTCCTCTAAAATAACCGGTTATTTAAAGGTAGTTTTTTTTTCACCAGTTAACCTAATAACCTTGCATTACGTTCAATAACCTATAGCCGGTTATTTTTTAAAAAATCGTACTTGTTTAAAACAAGTAACAATTAAATATTAGCTGTTTGAATGGTAAATTTCGAAGAAGCGAACGGCACGGATCTTCCAGATATTACGACGATAACGGGAGATCCCGCTCCCGCTCCCAAAACGAAAATATATGACATCAAACATCAAATGTCAAAATTAAATCAGGCATCAGGCGAACCCTGATGATAATAATCAAAACAACGGCCGAATGGCCCTGACAGGTCAGGCCGTAAAACAAAGTACTAATGGCATAGACACAAGAATAGATATCAACCAGAAGCCTAACTTAGAGTTTGCGCGGGAAACATCGCCTAACCTAAAAATAGCGGTAGAACCTGTCAACGCACTGGCGTTCGCAGTTCACTTATGTTTTGCGTTTTGCTGAGAGCAGTAGCTGTTCGTCTTTCGTAAATATTGAATATTGTAGTTTGTGTTGTTTTATAACTGAACGGAGCGAATAGTCTGGAATAGTTATTAAATATTTGTTGTGCTAGGTACATTATTTATAATAACTTCAAAGAATACTGGTTCAGTTTGTGCCTCAAGAATGTGCAAAAGCCGGAGTTATGTTTCGCCAGGACGCAAAATGTTTTACGATACGTTTGTGGATATTTAATAAAAAAATGTTTGAGTATACATTCATGTGATATATGTACCAAATATGCAAAGGCACACAGTGAGTTAGATGATACATCGTTGTTTTGCCATTTACGTGCCTATGAAAATAATAAAGAGTGAAAATAATAATTTAGATATTTTTGGCAATCTTCAGATGTCACATGACAATTTTGTATCTTATGTTTCTTCATTAGAACCTGTTTTTAGTAAATATTATGAAGAATATGGGACAAGACATTTTATTAAAGAAATTTATATAATATGCAAACAAATTAATTTCAAACATCCATGTACTAGTTTTCCCCTAAAATATGTAACTAAATTATATCTGCTTATGAAATTGTATTATACATTAAAAAAGATAAACCTTAATTTTAAAACAGCCAATAAAAACAAACTAATTATATGGAGGCATGAATAAATACCTAAGTATTCTGGCTAGCGATTCTGTAAACATATTTTCTGTCTAGTGACTCATCAATCGTATACAAATAGCATAGGCTAGACAGGAAATTTCTTGCTACAGAGCTTACAGAATCCCACCGCTGATGTTAGCTTGTTTATTTATTTCGTTTGAAACTTAAATGAACACCTACCTTATCTTTACAGGATGTTTTAAAACGGGCCAATTGAAGGTAAGTATCTCAAGTGTCCTTATAAAGAACCCAAAGTTTTAAATTTCAAGCAAATCTCTTCTTATATTAAAAAATCCGCCATATTGGATCCGCTAATTTGATTTTTTTTCTTCAAAAATATTATAAAAGTGTCACCGGAACTCAATACGTGTGCAACATTTCGGAAAAATTGGGATAATAGAAGTGATCAATAAAGCTGCTGCCAGATTTGCAACAAACAAAGGTATGGTAAAGTTAAATAAAATCGTTTAAAAATATAAACTATTTTTATACCGCGATATCTCTAATGGTTTACTAATGCAGTGTTTTTTATCGCTGGCAATAAGTTTTACATTAAAAATATTACTCCATAAAATATGTTGGGACATTTGTACTAAACCAATATTACAGCATCTTAAACAAATTAGCCTTTACTTTTAACTTTAACAAACTCACCTATTAAAGTTTTAAGCAGTAGTTTTATTAACTGCCGAATGATATTAATTAATTCTATACTTTTCAATTTACAACAAAAAATAAATACGACTCTGTATACATTCAACGGAAATTTATTAAATACGTCTCTGTGTTATACCGCTATTAAATGGCGGCCCAATTCGTGAAACGTCACGGATTTCAGCTCCAGTTAGGTTTCTGGTTGATATCTATTCTGTGGCATAGACTACTACTAGCCACCCAAGGTTATTATACTCTAAAGGTTACCTCACCTAAGCCCAACCAATCATAGCGCGTGACGTCAGCCCGAGACCCAATTCCTCTTTGTCTAGCCTAGAAGTTATATGGATTTTGTCTCTCTCGTACTAACAGTTTAAATTTGTATTTTGTCGTCTCTTTAAAATAATGCAAAATACAAAAAGATTGGTATTATTTTGTAATGATTTATATTTTTTTCTAAAATGTAAAAAATTAAATTATTTTCATATAATTTAAATGAAATGTGTAAATGTATTAAAACGTAAAAAGTTAATTAATTTTGAAGATTTTGTAAAAGGATCTTATCGTGAATAAATCTTGATTTTCTTTTTCATAAATATTTTGGTATATATTTATAAAAATAGATACAATAAATAAAATTTAATATTTGGAAATTATTATCAATACCCTTACATTTTTATTTAGTAATATATGAATTTGTATAGTTATTGAAATAAATAAATCAAAGTACCTAATCAAAGCAATAAATTATTTATTTGTAATATAAATGATGTATATGCAAATTTAGTACAAACAGTTTTAAACAATTCAGAAATACTAATTTTACGACATGGTTTGTATAATTAATTTCTAAATATGTATATAAATAAAAATAGTTTACATTGTAAAAAAAAATTCTTAGCATTTCTTGTTTATTTTCTTTAAACTTAAAGTTTAAATTTAGCACAAAAGTTGAATTTAAAATTTATAAATAAACTAACCGACTTAGTATTCTACTGTTTTATAGGACTTTTCTGCTTCAAGTGTAGTTGAGATTTTAAAAGTTGTTTTTGTTATTTCTTAATTTTTTGGTCCTCTGCCATCAATAATTCTTCCTTTAGAGAAAGGATAGTTTTCAATTCATTATATTTTAACAATAATTCATCATACATTGGATGACCAACACAAGTAATAACAGCTCCAGATGCTACGGTACTGTGTTCCTCGGCAACATTTACATTGCTTTCCTCGAAATTTTCCATTAGTAGTTCCTCCACCGCCACTTGTGTTCTTCTTTGTTCAACTCGTTTTTGCCTCAATGGATCAATTTTGTCAGGTGGACTGACTTTTTTACTTTTACATAAGATTCTACTCATACCTATATAACTAAAAATATTATATTACAAAAAAGCCGAAAAGCTTTGAATTATTTACCAATTGCTTTTAATGTTTTTCTTAGTTTCCAAGTCCTAATAATTCCTCTTACTTGAAGATCTCTTTCATAATCTCATCGGTAAAATGATCTGAACAAATCCTACAAGTTTCTACATTCCATTTTCCATCTCTACAACTCTACACCCTTTGAATCTGCACCCATATTTGAGTAATTTCGGTATTCTTCGGGAAAGCATGAAATTTAATAATTTTTCCAAATTTTTAGCCTTTTCTAGGCTATTTTGACAAGTAGTAACTGTACACTGAGTTCACAGCATTCTAAAAATATTAAATCTTATTGTTTTTTTTTCAAAAATAAATAGTTATTAAAAATTAGTATAAACATGCCGATAAACGTTTCTCTAGGCTGAACATTTATATAAGTAATTATACTCACTTAATTGCCAGTTCCTGAGATCTACGCAAATAATAAATTGTCCACAAAGTACTTAAATATGTGTAGTTCACAGACCACAATTAACTTAACCAGTAACACTTAAAGAAATATTAGCAAATAAAGAAATAATACAAAAACGATACAAAACCACTACCAAACCAACGGCCATTGCCATTAAACCGTACGAAAAAGAAAGAAATGGAAGGTATTAAAAAGAGATACGGCGGGTCTCAGAACTACGTCACGCACACCCGCCGTCCTCCGCGCACCTCTCGCCTAAAATCTGCCGACTGAGGTAACCTGTAGAATCTAATAACCTTGCTAGCCACCAGCTAGCCAAGTGATACGAACCTAACTTCAAATAAATTCTCTAAATTCTATATTTAAATTTTAACCGACTTGAACGGATTTTTAACGGTTCTTCAAAAGTTTTCCATGGTTTCGCCCAGTTTCACCCACGTTTCACCGTAAATATATTTTATTTGTAGTTTGAAGTCTCTCTTGAAGCTTAGACTAAAGAATACAAAATTGAAGTTCAAGTAATGAATGAAGATAATCTTTCATTATCTATTCATTCGGTCGGTAACATTTGGGCTCTGCGGTGGAACACTAAATTCACCTATTTTATTAATAAATACATACCTAGGCTTCAATATTAGTGTATATAAGTTATTATAATTTGTTTCTGTACCAAATAAACAATATTTTGTTTGAAAAATATATTTAATATGGTAATAATTATCAAATAAACACATAATAAACATGAACGGCCTTCAAATATTTCAACTGTCGCCGATTCTGACACAGAAATTATGGTGCAATGTTGCCGGTTTTGTTTTTAATTTATACTACCTTTTTCCTAACGATTTTATTAAACCCTTAGTAATATTATTTTTTTGTTATCATTTAATTTATTTATAACTATAATATGTTAATAACATATTTAATAAATATTATTGAAGAAGGAAAAGTTGGGTTGCCTATAATATTTAGAAAGAGAATAATCGATAATTCATTGTAAAAAATCTATTGGTATTGAGTTGTTTAACAACTAAAGAGTTGGGGTATTTGAAGATATTTTTAATTAGAGAGCTGGTACATTTGAATCTCTAGAAATATATACCGTATAATCGAAAAAAAATGGCGTCAGCGATGGCTATGAAATGAAGATCGCTGTCATTTTATATATAAATTTATATGGGAAATGTCATCGATCGTCATTTCGCAGCCAACTGGACGCCGGCGCCGTTTTTTTCGATCATAGGGTAGTATTATAATATAAATTGGAAAACAATATTTGTAATGTAAAAAAAAAAATATTCTCCATTTTTAATTATAATAAACAATAATAATGACATTAGCAGTTAATTAAATTTCTATATATACAGGATGGTCCAAACTATAGTCCGGAAACGTCGGCAGCATATTCTGCAGATAAAACTAAGTAAAAAAGTTCGTATAAATGTATAGTATGTCCTAAGAAGCTTACTTTCGGGAGTTCAGGGTGTAGAAGTTTCATTTTTATTTCGATTTTTTACCAAAATTATCAAATTCCTCATATCAAAAAACTTCCAGACACCAATTTTCATCTAAACTTTGACGTTACTTCACAAATTATTTGGAAAAAATTCGAAATAAAAATGAAACTTCTACACCCTGTATCTCCGAACTAAGCATTTTAGTAGATAATTTTTACGAAGTTTTTTACTTATTTTTATCTGCAAAATATGCTGCCAAAGTTTCCGGAATACAGATCGGATCACCCTATATATTATATTCTCTATAATAAGACAAAAATTATTTGTTACGCATATTTTATAGATTTCTTTTCGTCGTACCGCATAGCCCAACGAGTAATCGAGAAAATTAAAACTTAAACTATAATTCTGAAATTTGGTGTGGAGACTCCAGGAGAGTCTCAGATACTACCCTAGAAGTTTTAGACCTCTATCTCACCCGGAAGTGGTCGTACCGCAGAACCCAAATAGAGTAAACGTCAAATATAAAACTTAAGCTACAAGCCTCAAATTTGATACGGAGACTCCAGGAGGGTGTCTGATACTACCCTAGAAGTTTCAGATCTCTATCTCACCCGGAAGTGGTCGTACCGCAGAGCCCAAATAGAGTAAACGTCAAATATAAAACTTAAGTTAGAAGCCTCAAATTTGGTATGGAGACTCCAGGAGGGTCTCTGATACTACCCTACAAGTTTCAGACCTCTATCTCACCCGGAAGTGGTCGTACCGCAGATCCCAAATAGAGTAAACGACAAAATTAAAACTTAAGTTAGAAGCCTCAAATTTGGTATGGAGACTCCAGGAGGGTCTCTGATATTACCCTAGAAGTTTCAGACCTCTATCTCACCCAGAAGTGGTCGTACCGCAGATCCCAAATAGAGTAAACGACAAAATTAAAACTTAAGTTAGAAGCCTCAAATTTGGTATGGAGACTCCAGGATGGTCTCTGATACTACCCTAGAAGTTTCAGACCTCTATCTCACCCGGAAGTGGTCGTACCGCAGAGCCCAAATAGTAAGTAACGACGAAATTAAAACTTTAGCTAGAAGCCTGAAATTTGTAGGGTAGTATTTATGACTCTCCTGGAGAGTCATAAATACCACCCTACAAATTTCAGGCTTCAGCTAAGCTAATTACTCGTCGTTACTACTATTTGGGCTCTGCGGTACGACCACTCTCGGTGAGATCTGGTCTGAAACTTCTAAGGCATTATCGAGCCATCCTGGAGTCTCCGCTATCAAATTTGAGGCTTCTAGCTGTTGACTGTTATATTGCTCTGCAACTTCCGAAATGAAAATAGAGGTCTGCTTCTGGGCAGTATCAGAAGACCTGAGTATACCATACTGAGATACGGGCTTAAACTGGTAGGTACGTCGTTTATGTTGAGATCTGCTGGCTGACTTCTCCGGATGAATTCAGGTCTGAGGCATCTAACTTAAGTTTTAATTTTGTCGTTTACTCTATTTGGGATCTGGTGGCACGACACTCTCGATGAGATCCAGGTCTGAAACTTAGGGCAGTATCAGGATTCCTGAGTCTCCATACCAAATTTGAGGCTACTTAGCTTAAGTTTTAATTTTGTCGTTTACTCTATTTGGCCCTCTGCGGTACGACCACTCCAGGTGAGATAGAGGTCTGAAACTTGTAGGGTAGTATCAGAAGACCCTCCTGGAGTCTCCATACCAAATTTGAGGCTCTCAGCTTAAGTTTTATATTTGGATGTTTACTCTATTTGGGCTCTGCGTTACGACCACTTCCGGGTGAGATAGAGGTCTGAAACTTCTAGGGTAGTATCAGAGACCCTCCTGGAGCCTCCATACCAAATTTGAGGCTTCTAGCTTAAGTTTTATATTTGAGGTTTACTCTATTTGGGCTCTGCGGTACGATCACTTCCGGGTGAGATAGAGGTCTGAAACTTCTAGGGTAGTATCAGAGACCATCCTGGAGTCTCCATACCAAATTTGAGGCTTCTAACTTAAGTTTTAATTTCGTCGTTACTTACTATTTGGGCTCTGCGGTACGACCACTTCCGGGTAAGATAGAGATCTGAAACTTCTAGGGTAGTATCAGAGACCCTCCTGGAGCCTCCATACCAAATTTAAAGCGCCTAGCTTAAGTTTTATATTTGACGTTTACTCTATTTGGGCTCTGCGGTACGACCACTTCCGGGTGAGATAGAGGTCTGAAACTTGTAGGGTAGTATCAGAGACCCTCCTGGAATCTCCATACCAAATTTGAGGCTTCTAGCTTAAGTTTTATATTTGACGTTTACTCTATTTGGGCTCTGCGGTACGACCACTTCCGGGTGAGATAAAGGTCTGAAACTTCTAGGGTAGTATCAGAGACCCTCCTGGAGTCTCCATACCAAATTTGAGGCTTCTAACTTAAGTTTTAATTTTGTCGTTTACTCTATTTGGGTTCTGCGGTACGACCACTTCCGGGTGAGATAGAGATCTGAAACTTCTAGAGAAAATTAAGAAAAACATGAAAATATTAGACTAGGATATTAAATTATTATTTTGTTAGAATTTTTTTATTTTTATATTTCATATACCATAGAAACGCGTTTTGATTTTTAGGACTTCAACTTAGGAAAAGATTCAACAATATTTTCATGTTTTTCTTTGCTTCCTTTGCTCTAAAACGGTATGGAAATTTGGAAAAGTATAAACGGGATTAACCATTTTAGAACAAGCAAACATTTTTTATGAAGAATGTATTTTTCTCAAAATATCAATAATAAAAATGTTTTTCCTCTTGTAAAGACAATCCGGGGACATACTGTATACCTATATTCTTACTAGTACCCTAGTACCCAAGAATATCTTAATAATACCTATTATTCTTTGCTAGTACCCTTCTAGTACAATTATATTTATTTTATGAATATCATATGCAACCAATGATTCACTAATCTGAATAAAATCAATATATTTTTATATTTGATAGTATTAATTATATTATAACTTAGTTAATTAAGTAAACGATTGAATATAACAACTACTGTGTTAGTAATTGTTTATTTAAAAATGGTATTTTGATAATTTCTAGAGTTTAAATAAAATAAAAATCTTAAAGGAAAATGATAACATATCGGCAACATGGCACGAAAAATTGTAAATATAGATGGCCGATTTACCGATTTGCATAATATCAAGGCTTATATTTTTTAAGTATTATCGATAATTTATGTAACAAAGTATTGTTTTTCGTTGACACAAATGATTTATATACACTAATATTGAAGGTGACGATTCACTTTAGGGCTGTCGCGAGGATTGCATTTAAAATAAAAATTTTGCTACCAAAACAAAGTAAAAGACATTTGTGAAAGAACTAGGTGAGGAATATTCGATTTCTTAAAACAGTTTTTGTAAAATAAATAACACAGAAGTGTACTATTTTTGACGCGGAGGCGGCGGAGTAATGTCGGGTGTTCGATATTTACGTTCCGATTGACGGATGGCGTCTTATTGCTCTAACGCGCATGCTCATACCGGGAACATGGACGCTTTTAAATTTATGCTACGCTTGTATATTTTTTTATTTATTTAGAGTTGTTGGTAACGGCGATCAAAATACGCCGTAGGCGCATTTTGATCGCGTTGGTTAGTCTCTGGTGTTTTTTGGTATTTTATATATATTTTATATATTCATTGATTTTCTTAAAAACTATTGCACGAAAAGCTATGAAAATATTTTTGAGGTTAGAAAATTTTTCTCGCTTATTTTACAAAAAATCGCATTTTTCCTCACCTCAAGTTCTTTATTTTAGTCTAAAAAGGCAGAATATCCACTTTATTTTATAGAAAATTTGTTAATTTTGACAGCCCTAAAGTGAAACGGACCCATATTGAAAGCTAGGTATGTATTTATTAATAAAATAGGTGAATTTAGAGTTCCACCGCAGAGCCCAAATGTTACCGTGATTTGTTTTTATGGGAATATTTTACGGATTTTTGCGAATTTAGAGTATTTTGGACGATAGGATTGTGAAATTTAAAAGCCAAGTAGTTTAATATATAAGATTAATTAATCCCTGTGATAATTTTTATGAAATTTCTCATAATCAAAACAAATTCTTTCAACAAAATGGCTGTCTCAGAAATTTGGAAGATCATTAATTTTAAAGTTTTATTTAAGTGTATTTATATCGAATCAAGAATTTGTATAACATATTAAAAGCTTAATTTTAAAGGTTGTGCAGTAATTTATGTAAGTGTACGCTTTTAGATAAATATTAAATATACAAATTTGCAAAGACAAACAAGTAATTTTAAAAAGATCATTTATTTATTTAAACGAGTATAATCATTAATCATTAGGTTGAAAATATATTTGTATTTACTTATTTATATATTTTCTATACCCTTGTATTATTTATAAGCCCTATATGTCCTGTTTTATTTGAAAAAAAAATGCTTCGAGTCATCGAGAATAGATTTAATAACAATTTTGTCCCTTGGCTTTGTGTATTATATAATGTGAATTGTAAGATGTTTCTATTTGAATAGGTCATTAAAGTTGAGATTAAAGTTATACCAAATTATATTCACGGTAACTATATGTCTTTTATATAATGAATTATTTATTTATAATTTATAACCTTTTTTATAATTACTTATAACTGATTGTATAAATTCTGATAACTTTTATATATACTTGTATAGTGTTGAATGTGTTATATGTAATTTTATTAACAATGTTATAATAAAATAATCAAGTTACAAATTTTTCGTGTTTTATTCTAATTTCAGGGATAATTTCAACCTAATTATTAATTTATTTGTGTCAAAATACATTATTTTATTTTTGTAAAATGTGTTTTGTTACAAATAAGTTCATAATCTAGATTGAAATTACCAAATATAAGTAAAAAACTTATGAACTGGCAGTAAAGGTCCATTTAAAAATATGGCGCGAACTTTTAGTTCTGCCAGTAGCCCGCTTGGATCGCGTCGAGCGCGTGTTTCCAGGCTTTAACATAGGAGTTTTCATTTCTTTCAGTTAGTTATTCTATGGTTATAATTTTGTGTCAACTTTTGTTAAATACCCTGCGTTTTGGAAGATGATGCATTTTGATTCGTATTATTACGTGTCTATTGTCTTTTGAAGTCAAGTGGAGAAAAAATCGAGTGAAAATTAACTGTAGACCCAGAGCACAATTTATGGTTAATACTCGCTGCCCAGGCAGAAAGTCTTATACACCCCATCGTTAAAGTTTGTATACCATCTCGTATATGGTAGAAGGATCAAACTAAACACATACTAAAAACTGGAGTAGCTGTAAAATATCGACATCACACGATAGGTAAATAATGGATTTTAGTACTGCAGAAAAATAATGTCAAAAGGTACTGGTTTAAAAAAATTAAGATTAAAGTTAATTAATCAACCTTTAAGGTATAAAAGTTGGTAGGTGTTATTATTAATAAAATAGTTTGTTTTATTTACCTATGTTGTTTTATTTATTCCTGTGGAATATTACAAATTTGTATTTGTACATAAGTTATATTGATAAATATAATCATAAATGCGGGTAGTTTCATAAAGCTTGAAAGTAAAAAATAGTTCTTTTTTTATATTTTTTGGTATGTAGTATCTTTTTCTTGTTTGTTTTGTATTAACACATACCGTTAACTTTTACCGGTTTTATTAAATAAAATAACTCGGATTACATTTTTTCAGTTTTTACAGTTTTTTCACAATATTTTGAAGTAATCACTTGTCATCTTGTCAATCAAATTTTAAATATTTCCTGCTATGCGTTCCAGTTGTACCAACTTATTTCTTTGTAAAATAAAATAAACTACTTTGAAATTAAAATGACAGACACATCTATCACTGTCAAGGATCTTCTCGTTGGACAGACTATACATATTGCATTTTTCTGCTATCTTAAGATTTCTCTATTCTTAACCTAATTTATGTGATTTTCTTAGCATATATGATTTATAAACCATATTTTTCCTAATGGAAGGATGGAATAGGATATGCAAAATTAAGATATTTTAACATTTATTTTCCAGACAAAGCATAATATAGTATTAAGATTAAGACATAACAAATATTATAAGAAAGATCTTAATATAAATCACAAACTAACTAAGTCTTAATTTGGTCTTGTATAAACAGGTATAAAACTAATAAGATCAAAACTCAACCTTCACCATATTGTCAAGATTTGGCATTATAGGAAACAAGAAATTACAGTAGATTAAGAAAAGAATATCAAAGTACACGATATTAAATACTGTAATGTATTCTACGACACAAACCATCTCCGTTCTAAAGAGAAAAAGATAACATAAAGTTTATTTTAGTCTTATCACCACACTTTTCGATAAAATATATGTCTAAAATTGCTCTTAATCCACTAACTTGATATTTTTAAGAAATTTTGATACAAACATTATAATCAAAGTATATTATATTAGTAAAATTATAGGTAAAATCCTTAATCTAAGGTAAAATCACAGTAAAATGTTACCTCTATCTCCCATTGACGTGTATTGTTCTATAAGACTCGTCATAGTCAGTACTTCAATACATCAATACATATAATCAAAACTATTGTTGCCTGTAAATAACTAGAAATTAAATAACTTGAAAGAAATAAAATAATTCTAATAAGTTTAAAACCATTAATAAAGTAAATGATAATTTTTAATTCTAATGTAAATATATAAATAAATGTTATTATTATTACAATTTTATATATCATTCCTTAATTTTGGATATCAAGATAAATCTGAAATTATAAAATTAATTATAGAATTTGTATTATTATTGATCCGTGATAAACACTCAAAAAAATTTTCAACTGCAAATAATGCGAAAATAAACTGCAATTTGGCAACATTAGTATCGATGATCAAATGCAGCAAATATGGGCTACAAGGTCAGCCACCGGATCCACACCTTTACCACATTTTTTTGTAAGATTTAATGCTTTTTTTCTCTTAGGTTAAGTCTGTGGGTTAAGTAGAGCTAGAAGCAGGGGGGTGACAGTGAAATAGGAAAATTGGAAACAGTCATTAGTGTCATTCCTGTCATTCTCCTCACGACAAGTATGGCCGCCTAGACAAGGACAGCATTGTTTTTGTCTAACTATTGTCTAACTTCACAGTTTAGAATTGACAGATTTCAGTTTCAGAGACAACTTCAGATTTGTTCTAGAACAAATTCGAAAATTGTGTCGAAAATATTCGACGCCATTTTAATTCATTCCGTTTAGTTTCGTTTTGGAAGTTCAATTTAATATTTCGGCTGAAATTTATAATTATAAAGGTAATAAAGTATATAAAATATATATTACATGAAGAATCCTGGAGAAAATGACGTTTCTGCCGTAGTAGGTATGTCCCATGTATATGAAAAATAGGTAGTAAATAAACACTGTTTTTACATTTTTTAGATGCAAGAAAATGGTGTTATAATCTCTTTGATCGGCGATTTTTTTGAAAATGGAAACAATTTACAGCAAGGTAAGATCATTTTTAACTATAGCCAACATCATTTATCTCCAATATGTGCGATTTATTGTCAATAATGCAATAAATCGGACTGATAATCTGATTATGTTATCCGACTAAAAGTCTCTTTTTGCTTCTTTTTGATTTATAAGCCAGGTCTCTTTGGGAATAATGGACGCTTTTTTAAACAGTATATTTATATTTTATACCTATTGATATTTTTAGATTGTTAATTTTAGTATAAAAAAATTTGTTTTTCTGTTTTCAGGTTTTTGTATAAGGCTCCCGTTTTCATGTCCCTGTGTCCGTTTTCTGTCCTTGAAGTCTGCGAATACGTGTGTTTATTTACAAATTACTGTAAGTCATGCTTATACCTTAACTAATTTACGTTAAAAGTACATATAATTAACTAATTGGTATTGAAACAATACAATCCTCTATATTTTTATGTTTATTTAGTCACGTTGTTCCATACTTCAAATAAATATATGTGAATAAAAATTTTTTGGTTTTATTTATGAAAAGTAAAAAATACAAAAATACATTTGAACTGAAAGAGGACCCGCCATTGAATAACCGGAAACGGAAATGAAAATTAAGCCATCATGTCCTTATCATGTCAACCTGTCAATTGGAAAATTAGTTCTCCAGACGACAACGAAGGCTTTCGGTGGCGTATCGTGTTTCCACGATTTAACACAGAGTTGACACTTCTTTCTAGTTAATTATTTTATGGCTAGAAGGGTGATAGAAAACACTTTTGGGATATTGGTTGCAAGATGGCGAATATTGGAAAAACCAATAATAGCCAAATAGCAAACAATTAAAAAAATGGTGGGTGCAATATGTTGTTTACACTTTACACGACTATTTAAGGAAATCAGATGCACAAAAGTTAGACAGTGACAAATATTGCCCCCCTAATTTTGTGGATCGTGAAACAGATGATGGCAATATTATAAGAGGAGAATGGAGGAATGAATCAAGTGGATTGTGTGGCTACTGCAAGAAGAATGGGTGGGAATGCATATGCTCGCCAAGCTAATTTAATAAGGCAGGAACTCTCTGAATATTTTGTAGATGTAGCACCAATTCCATCTCAATTTTTTAAATAAAAAATATTAATTTTAATTAAGTTTGCCTAAAAACAATAATTATTATTATTTTTATGCCATTATACAAAAAATATGTATTTTTATATGTTTAGTTTTTTAATTAGTTAGTAGTATTTTAAATCATGGAAATATTGGAAACCATTAAAGTACCTAATAATTATGAAATAATTATTTATGAATATGATTTGTATTACATATTTTTTTTATTATATTATATTTTGTTTCTTACTTTGACATAAGTTTCTTTTTAAAATAAAGATTATTTTTTATTTTCAGCCTATGTTAAAGAACCGATTGGTTGTGATAAAAAAAATTAAACCTGAATGTCTTTTCTTTATTGAAACTGGTAAATAGTAATAAAAGACATAATTATCGAAAACTATTGATGGTTAGAAATATAATATCAATAGTTTTCAATAGTATAAACTATCAATAAATATCAGTAGGCTATCGATAGTTCTCGACCACTATATACTATACACTATCAATTATTGTTGAAAGGGAATAAAATAAAATTCAAAAATTTAAACTTATTATTATATTAAAAAAATAGTTTACTCGTCAGGGACTTCGATACTGCCGTCATTTACTTCATCTATAACATCATGGGGCGCTTTTCCATCAATTGTACAACCAACAGACTGAGCACTACCTAAAAATAATAATTATCATAAGTTTTGAAACCCAAAGTCATATAAAAACAATAAAAACATACCTAAAACTTCTTTTACTGTTCCTGACAGTGCTTTAGCCATGGATCGCGGTCTCATTTGTCTTGCAATAGCCAAAACATCATCAAAGGAAATGTTGCCACTGTGTTTAACTATAATTAAGATAAATATTTACACATACTAGGTATTACAACTACATTTCAGTAAAGAAAATGTTTATTCCCGTTAGTAACACGCTTAGTAATTCGTAAGCATGGGTTGCAAATAAGGAATGATTTAATTTAGCACCAAAATTTGTGTGTCACAAAACATTAAACATTTTGTAACAAAAGCTATTGATGCACCAGAAAAATATTTTCTAGAACTACATTAAATTACTTACTATTTTTCTGCTTCTTTCTATCCCTTGGTGGTTCTTTAAGAGCTTTAATGATCAGGGAAGCTGCAGAGGGTACTACTGAAATGCTGGCTTGACGATTTTGGATTTTCAACTGTACAGTGATTTTAAGACCTTTCCAGTCAGCTGTGCCTTTTGCAATATCGTCACCTACTTTTTTAGGAGACTAGAATGAAATATAATTTAAAAAGTAAGGTTAGCTTACAATAACCACTCTGACAAAAAATATTTAGAAATACGAGTAATGTTTTACTTACCAGACCTAAAGGACCGATTTTTGGGGCCAACGAAGAGGTAGCACCTACTTCTCCTCCAACACATCTCAAATAAACTAAAATGAAAGAAAAACATTTGTGAAAACACCCTCAGCCTGACCGCGAATTTTATGTTACAGAGCACCTACCGTATTTTACTTCGTTCGGATCGAATTTTGGAGGCATCTTAGTGGATTTCTTGGCGAGATTATATTAAAAATCGGCAAATTGAAGCCGATGAATTCAGATTTTTATAAAATCCAAACTTTTCGTCAAGAATTGACGATTTTGAAAGACAGCTGGATTGACAGTTGTCAAAAACATTAAATTTTGTGCAATTACAGAAATCTTTACTCTGTTAGAACCATATTTGAACCTTTTTGAATCCTCATAGTTCAACAAGTTTTTCATAGATAGCGCAAGTGTATAAAAAAAGAAATATAAATTGAATTTAAAATGTGATTTAAAACAACGACAATTTATGCGTAAACCATTTCTATTTATTTTGAAACAATTTGAAATTAAGCTTTATTTCAAATAATTTTTGTTTTGAACATAAAGAACTAATAAATATGAAAATTGGCATTTCGCATTTTCAAATTCTTGTATTTTTATTCTTTTTTTAATAAGTTAATTTTTAATTTAAGAGATTTTCTATAGATTCTGATAGATTGTTCAAGCTTCGACGAAGGGGGGATTGTAGCAATATTATTGTTGGGGCTCTAGAAGATGTGAGAAGCACTTATGTTTTATTTGTAAATTTTATTTTATAAACGGCGTGATGCTGCTACCTGCTACTATAAAATTCCGTAAATACCTTGTATTTGCGTATCAGTCTATCTTATCTATCTCTGATCTCCTGCCCTATTCCCCCATAACCTATAGTAAATTTATATTTTTGTAATTTTCGTGGCTTAGACAGAGACAACTTTGCAACAAAATTGCTCAAATTTCATTGTAGCCAAATAACATTTTCGCGTCAGTTTGTTGCTCTTCAGTGTTTGCATTCCTCAAGGATTTATACTTTTTTGTGAATAAAAAAATGATTACTATCCTATTTTTGTAATACAATTTTAATACTTATTTTGAAACAATAAAACAACGTATTTATATATAATATGTTTTTATTTATGGTAACTATTTTCTTGACAACAAAATCATCTTCAAAACATCTCAACTTTTTTTGAATAAAGTAACAATATGATACGTTTCTATATATCACCAATAACTTACAAATATCATAAGATTAAATATTGTATAACAATCCATTTTGTTTTTTCAATTACAATATATTCAAAACAATACATTTATCATGCAAAAATTCGTTTTTATACATTCAAAATTGTATAATAATATTATGTTAACATTATTTGTCATTTATTGCTTCGTTTATGACAAAAATTGTACGTTGAGCAAATTAAAAGTACTCTAGCCTCAACTAGCCTGACATATTTAAGGCTCTGAGTTCTTTTTTGCTTTTTCTTCTATGGGGTCCTAAAGAACTTCCATCTCTGAACTGGAGCGTCTTAGATCGCAAAACGAATATCTTCAAAGATTTTTTCAATTTTTTCTCTTTTTGTTGGCCTTTTTCACGGCCTTGTTGCAAGTTCAAATGGGCAGTTCCACGACAGGTCTTGGAAATTCCTCCAATGTGCACTCATAGAAATCTGCTAGGAGATGCTCATTATCCGTCATGGGCATAATATCATTCTCCGGAATTGCTAGACTATTATCCCGGGTTATAACAGCACAATTACAGTAACTATTTTGTTTAGTCTTTTGAGAACCACCGCAAAAACTGGCTAGTTTTTCACTCGAGTCCACTTGGAGCAGAGGAATATAATTTTCGTAGCAAAAAGCTTGGAGAAGAACTGCTTGAATATGGGTAGCTGCATCTCCTGGTCTTGCTGTAGGTAAGACACATAACACCACGTCTTCGGGGCTTTTTTCCAGGAACGCCAGAGCTGGAAGAAGACCACAAATCAGTCTTCGGTCGTTCTTGGCTTTTGTCAGGGCTGCGCGTAAGGCTCTGCCCAATTTTGACCTGTGAACAATGAAAATACGTTAGTTATAGTAGTATAAAAGAAAATATGTTAATGAAAAAAGTCCTGACGTGGGTAAAGACCGCTAATACAAATATCACTGATTACAAATTGAATAATAATGATCGTTTAGTTCTATAAACAAGTGCACTGATGACGCTTTATTTATTTATCTAAGTTAAATTACCAAAAATTTTATAATTAAAAAAAACAAGCTAAAAAAGTATTTACCAACTTCAAAAACGGGTATTTAATATTTTATTATCCGCGTAGGTGTTTAAAACGTACCCTAAACACTAAACATGAACGATTTAAAACGAAATTACACCAAAGAAATAAAATAAAACGATGTATGGGACCTCAGAAAGTCTAGACGGCTTACACCCTTCTTCGTCTACCAAACATAAACAAACCACACTAGTTGGCGTGTGTCAGACAAAGACAGTAAATTTCCAAAGGGGTAAACAAACGAAGGTCGTTGTCATAGATACGCGTCCAGACACGTTTCTAGCCACGTGACGCTAGCCAATGACCTGAGAGATGGAATAACTTTGACCTTTAGGCCTTTAGGTAGTTTCCGAGAATTTTGGAAAAAGAAAATGGGATAAAGGTAAAAGCTTTAAAAAAGTTTTTCGTTATGATTTAACTAGCTGCAAAAATACTTAAATTCTGCGCACAGAGGTTAATATAACATATTATGTTATCTTGATTTTTTGAGATGAACAAACAAAAATGCGTAGTCATTTCGTTATCTTAAATAATTAATACACCTGTCAGGACTGGTTCGTGGACTTGGAGTATAATAACAATATTGCATAAGATATCGACAGTTTGATTAATACTGATAATAAAAATAACAGCAAATTACCAATTACTTGTTTGTTTAAATCTGTTAAGATATATTATGCATTATTTTTAATAAATTATTTTAAACCTACCTATTCATATTTTGGGATGATTTTTCAACAGGCTTGGCGACACACATTTCTGTAGAGCTGAATTTCAGAGATCTGTAGCAATAATCCACTTTCACACAACTCCGTCCTTTGTTGTATATGTTTTTTCGCACTACTTAATGTTTTCTCGCACCAAAATCACAAACTTTTCACCAAGTTAAGATTGCGAAATATTGTTACAGCCGAAAAGCGCGCAAAATTCAAGTTGACCGTGCTTCAAACGACAGCTTCAAATTTTTTATGACGTCGCGAACGAGCCCGCGATCATTTTAAACGGAACGGAGTGGGCTGTGGTGGGGGCACGTGAATTCCACGGCCCGCTGGATGGAATATCGACTGCGGTTTCGAGGAATCCCGCTATGGACGACACGTTTTCCGCCAGCGGTGGTTCTGGTATATTCATTGAACCCTGGAATTTCCTATGTTTTTGTGTGATGGATATCCGTTCAAATACTAGCACGGGGTCTTTTTGAACAGGTTGTCGGGTAAATACTGACCGATTAACGTCCGAAATCCGGTTGGAAATAGAGAAATAAGCGGTTTATGCAACTTGCGAAAGGTTATGTTAAATTACGAACGGTTACGGTGTGGATTGGAGATTGGAATTTCTGTGATTGTATTTTTTAAGATAACGACAAAAGGAATTACCGAAGACAAGTTAGGACGAGATTACGGACTGAAAACTAGGTCGGTGCGTGTTTTTTTTTACTGTACCTATTTTTAATTGAGGAATTGAGGAATATTTTCTAACGTCTGTTTATCAATCGGATTAAGTTGTTTTTATTATTTAATTGTTGGGTATTTGTTTTACTTAATAAGATGTTTTGAATGTTGAATAATAATTTCCAGTCGATGTATTTCCCTACATAGAAAACCCGATTAAACAAAACTGGGTATTTTTTGAAGCTCTAGTGATTTATTAGAGTTTTTTTTTATTAAATTACATGATTTGACAATTTGTTATTTGTTTAAATAGGTACGGTATTTTTCCCAATAGCAATGATTTAATTAGTGTACCTATATAAAAGTATGTTGTTTTAACTTTAAACTGAACTGTTCTTGAGCAAGAATTCTAAAAACGTGATATATTACTAGGCCCATGCGGTTTTAGCAAAAGAAATGCTTAAACATTTTACATATTTTTTATAGTTTACATAATATACGAGTATAAGGGTATAATCCTGGTATAATCTATATTTATACTTTCTTGTCCCTGTAGCAAGTAGCAACACGTCGAATAAGCGAATAGCCAACTCATTAGTGATTACCGGTGAATATCGGTAGCTCTCAAGGGGCGTCCAGACCGGATGAGCGACCAAGAGCGAGCACGAGCAAGAATTCGGGTATGTTCTATGGGTGGACGGCTCTGAGAGCGAGCGAATGATTGCTTGCTCGCGCTCGACGCTTTTCCACGCCGTGTCGGTACATCAAAGAAAATTCGCGTTATTGCACGTTCGGTTTGGACGGGATTTTGTGTACCACGTTTGCAATCGAATATCAAAAATGGAATAGCTGAATGAAGTTGTTTTAGAACTAATAGAGGAGTACAAAAATCGCCAAGACCTGTAAGGTTATAGCTAGCCTTTCTCTAGGTGAAATTGCTTTTCGGTAATTGGTATCACTTTTCATTATTTTTATGTCAATTAAATCTAATAAGGTATTAAAATCTGTAAGTGACAACCGACAAAAGTTCTTAAATTTTCCAGAATCTTCTGTTTCAACATCGTTTAGTAAATTGTTACCACCATGAGAAACTCGATTTTTAAAAAGAGTTGTTCCACCATCTTCTCGGCAGTCGTTTTTTCTTTTGACGTTTCAACAATTTATAAAATACAATGAAAGACGCACAAGCAATAATTTTTTCCGACATTATGAACATGAAGTGTCACATACCGATCAACGCCGAACATACAAATAATCGCTAGGTATGGACGGAAGCTGATCATGTGCTCGAGAGCAGCAGAAATCAAGAGCGAATTTGAATAAATGTTTGCTCGCGCTCGTTACTACTCGCTCATCTGGTCTGGACGCACCTTCAGAATGTAAAGAGCTGGGTACCGGCTACATGTACAAGCTTTACCACGAGCTTACCTGCACAAACCTGTTTTGTATCATGAACTTACTGTGTGTAGACGGTAAAACGGTAGCACGAACAAACCATTCAAGTAGAAAATTTAAACCATTCAAAGTATTTTTTTCTACAGTCACAATACCTTTCAGCAAAAATTTAATTTAAATTTAGTACCTACTTCGTTTAAATATTACCAGCACCCCTCCCAAACTCGATCTCTAGATGTGGCACTGTCTACAACCCCGTAAAATATTTGCATTTATTTACGCCCTGTATAGTTATTATTATATTATAAGTACATATCTATTTTTCTTACGAGTTTCATTAAGCTCCTGCTTTTTATACATATTTTTAATCAAGATTATTATATTTTAAGGCGGCTTGCGGATATTCTAATTATGTTACTTGGGAAAAAAATTTCAAGAACATTGAAAAGCTTCCTTAGCTCTTCCTCAAACTAATCTATAACAAATACAGTCTATTTTAATTGACTTTTAACCTTGTAGAATTCCATATAGGATATTATATTATTAGCACATTATTAGTGATTATCACCTGTAATCTATCCTTAATAGATTAAAGTAGGTATTATACATAATACCATGGCGCTTATATTTTCCACGGATGACTGGGAAATTTTTTTCGACGCAAATACCCAATAACAATAATGACATAAATTGCATAGATTAAAATAAAAACAAAACTGTTTGGATTTTCAGATGCATTATATGTAATATTGTTACTGATTAATTCTGCTTATTTTATTTAATAAACAATGTTTATAATAATAAGATAACCAGAAAGAGATAAGAATATTCTAACACAAATTCTAATATGGAGAGTTCAATGACAAAAATACATACTTACTTATTATATTATTTAATTATTATTATTTATTATAATTATTTTTATAATTAATTTTAAAAATAAATTTCTCATCTCATTGCTACTTTTTTTGTTCTAAACACTATAACCCCGAAATGTCTTTACAAGAGGCAAAACTTTTTTACTGTTGACATTTTGAGAAAAATGCATTCTTCGTAAAAAATTTTGCTTCTTCTCATATGGTTAATCCTGTTTATACTTTTCCAAATTTCCATACAGTTTTAGAGGAAGTTAAAAAAAATTAAAATAATATAGTTGAATTTTCGTAAAGTCCTAAAAATCATAACGCGTTTCTATGATAATAAAATCACGTTTTCATTCTTTGATAGATTTTTATTGATAGAATTTTAATTAACATCATATTTTTGGCTGTTTTATTAGCACAAAATTTATTTAGTTCAATACTATGGTAAGGGTGAGAATATTTATCGAAAAATGTGAAACTTTAACAATAGCCAAAAATATGCTGTTCTGATGCCGTTAATCAAAAAAACCTTCTATTGAAGAAGGAAATCGAAATTATATTACCATAGAAACGCCTCTAGATTTTTAGGACTTTTTAAGAATATAACCATATTTTCACGTTTTTTTATTTTTTTCTAAAACCGTATGGATTTTTTGGAAAATTTGTAAAACCGGATAAATCATTTGGAAAAGCAAATTTTTAATCTCTCAATTACATGACAGCTACGGTCATATTATATGATATTCGAACAATTTAATTTTTAAAATAGATAGCCACATGTATTATTTTTATGTCACAGTGGCTGTGGTAATCACTAAATATGACGTTCAGGCTATACAATTTTTTGACAGGCAGTTTTTTTTCCAAAAAATTTTAAATATTTTTTTCTCAAAAACGGTTAATATTAGATATAGAGTGTTGTTTAGAATTTAAATATATAATTAAAAAAATGGGGGTTAGGTTAGGTTAGGTTGCTGGGGTTTAGGATCATATTTGATCCCTCACTCGGAGGCCTTGGGCCCATTGCGATACCCCTGTATTGTTTTACCAAACCTTCCTCTCATTCTTTCTTTGCGTTAAAGTACTTCCAGCTCTTTGCAAAGTTCCCGATGTCGCTGATGTTGGCTTCTGCTGCTTCCTCTAGTCCCTCCAAAAAACCTTGCCCTAAAGTTTTAAAGCGTCGGTATTCCAGTGCCGGATAGTGGCACAGCAGGTGCTCTATGGTTTCTTCTTCCTTTCCGCATTCTCTGCAGTAGTCGTCGTCGGAAACCTTCCATCTTACAAGGTTTACCCCCGTGGGACAGTTTCCAGTGACGACACCTACAATTATGCGTACTATAGTAAATTCAACCCCAAGATGCACCAAACGTAAACAGAGACATGACGCTAGCACGTGAACAGGAACGCTGTAGTAATATAACCAGGATCGCACTAAGGTCGGATATTTCAAATCATAAAATTATTATGTATATTTTTATGATTTTTTAATATTGTTTATATTTTATGATGGAAATTTATATTATATAAATGGGTAATTATTGGGAAAACTGGAAATCGTCCTATTTTCACCAAAATTGGTATACACCCTATTTTGAGGTCGTAGATTACGAATCTGACCAAACTGAACCAACCAGCGGTCTCTTACCGTTTTTCAGAAAAACGGAAAATAATTTCAACATTGATTTTTTTTTTATTTCAGCCATATAAAGTAATAATTTCACTATATTTTTATTATATCATAGTTTATCTAAAAGCCACACTTGATTGAGGATTGAAAAATGTCCAAAATTTTACTGAAAAACACTTTTCTTAACAAAATAACAAAGAAAATTGAGACCAGATGGAAGTTTGACATTTCATATATTCTTCTTTCTCTCTCCTATGTAATGAGAGAGACAAATATTTGATTTTTTTTCGGGTGATTAGGGATTTTAAATAAATTACCTATTATGAGATTTGACAATAGTTAAATATACCTATATCCACAAAGTTACGCGGAAGAGTTTTAATTACATTGCTTTCAACTTCTATGCTTAGGGGGTTGATATTTTTATGTTATATTATATTAAAAAAAAATTAAACCCCTTCGCAAAGAAGTTATATAAATACTATTTATAAGCCCGAAGTTGCATGAAAGAGTTTTGATTGCACTGGTTTCAACTTCTTTGCGGAGGGGTTAATCTTTTTTTTTATATAATATAACAAAAATAGATTAATACCCTCCGCATAGAAGTTGTAACCAATGCAAACAAAACTCTTTCATGCCACTTCGTGGTTATAAATAGTCAGATATCGTTGGTAAAATAGCAGTTATGGGAAGGAGCTGTTAAACAAGGCAACCGCCTTTCGTAACCCAGAATGAGCGAAAAAAACACGCTAAATTTACGTTCAGCATTGGCAACGTTGCTTTAAATGCCAGAAACACATAACCCAACATTTTCAGATTGTTTACAAATTTATTTTAGCAA